TTATGTTCTTATGTTCAATGTAATCTGCATTGAAAAGGTTATGGTATGTAATTAGATAGACTTGAGTATGTTAACAGCTCTCTAATGTGAATAAACTATCAGTGGCAACTATACATTCTTCCTATGTACCTCTTCCTGCATACTAGATACTGTGGGATGCTCCCAGGCTAAAAAATCTCTCTCTTTTTGCTTATTCACTGAATTCTCCCTTTTCAGCCTTTATAATTTGATTTGATACCTGTATGGACAAAGGGGTGCTGGTGTGGTTGTTATTAAGAGGCTTCTCATTATAAAGAAGAGGTAAACAGGGTGTGAAAGACAAAGCAAACTCTAATTCAGTTCCGGATTTCCTCCTGATATTTATATTTACAAACATACTGCTTCATCATTTAGTCCAAATTTTAGGTTGCTGTGTCTATAAGGAATATATTTTGAAGCTTATCAATTTCATTTTGGATTTTTAACTCTCTTGCTGCAGAAAATGCACAACACAGTTTCTACTGAATTCCATTTCCTTTTATTATTATTTTTTAATTCCACCATTTTACAATTGAAAAAGATGCATATACCTATAAGGTCCTTTCCTTTACCTGCCTTCCTACAGGCCAGGTTACAGAATCAATGAACAAGGCCAACACCCTCACTTGTGGCTTTCTGAAGTCTCCCTGCAGCAATATAGAGATTAATAAAATGGCACCTTAAAATGAGCCTCGATCTGGGAAGGGGTTGAAACAGTCCTTCCTCTAAACTCATCTAATTTCCAAAGTGGTCACCTGTTAAATACAAAAAATCTTTACAAGATCGTACTATCGATCCTGAGAAGCATTCCATTGATTTAAGGTGTTTCTACTGTGAACAGCTCATCAAGAGGGAGAAAATGATAGGTTCTTGGGCAGTGGACTAGGCCCACAGTTGCAAGGCTTCTGCCTGGGATGTGGAAACACTCTCCCCCCTCCTCTTCTGAAGTATTGTCTCTTTCATACAAGGAGGCAAATATAATTGAGAGGTTCCTAAAATCTGGTCTTTATATAATTGTAAAAGAGAACAGGCTTAAAAGCTTGTAGTTTCCCCACCCATTGGGAAACAGTTTATTTTCTACAAAAGTTTCTCTTTTCAAAAGAAAGGAGAAAGAATACATAAGAACCACCTGTTCTACAGGAGCTCCTGTAATTCAATGGGCGTATACAAAGGTTTAAGAAATCAGTGGTGTTTAGTGACAAATGCCTAGCAACCTTTAAGCTAATCATCCTACAACAGGGTTGCCAGGTCCCTCCTATGGTAAAAGTCTACGGTAAATTTGGCTTCTACCATTGAGTGTCGCCCCAACGTCCCAAATGTGATGACATCACTTCCAGGTCATGTAAGCAGTGACGTAGACATATCACTGCATGTCATATATTTCTCCCTCTTTTTCAGGGTAAGTTCCCCCTGCCAGCCAGCTGATTGGCAGCAGGGAGGTGGGGCCTGGCCATGGCGGACCCCTGCCTCCACCTTGGGATCTGACAACCCTGTTCTACAAGTTTGTCTTTTGCCTCTTGCCTCCAATCCACCATCTTGGAAGAAGAGCCTATGGTGTTTAAAACTAGTGTAATCTGTGTTTAAGCCAATAGAATTAGGTAGCCTACAACACAGAAGACCAACTTCTATCAACGGTGCTTATGCTAATTAACTGTCTAGGAAGGGTAAGAACAATGTTTTCTGCTTGCATCCATGCAATGTATTTCCTTCCAAGATTTAGTGCAACTCATCCCATCAAGCAGATCCAGTCCCTCTAACTGACTGGGAAAAACAACAACATGAGAAACACTTCAGTTCAGCAAGCAAAGAACATGGAAGTAACACAGCTGCCAGCTGCTTGCTGTGGTCAAGGCCTTTGCTGGTAGATGTTTGGAATCAAGAGTAACATGGTCGCCTTCTGCCTCTAAGAGACAAGTGCAGATGTTAGCGCAAGACAGCATGTTTCCTAGGTTACATCTCCTAGCAGAAAATCAGGAATTGTAAGCTCTACACGTACAAATTACACAGCTCTCCTTTGGAAGCAAATTCTCCAAGATGGCTTAAGTTGGAGCACACCAGCTCCTGTCCCAGAGATAAGGGTTTAATATACCATTCATACCCACCCAAAGTGTCTTTCCCCTCCCCCCACCCACTTGCCTTCACCCAAGTTCTTATGCACACATTCCTTTAAAAAAAATTAAAAAACACAACCTTTGAGAAAGTCCAGTAAGAACCTCATTGACAATATAGCCCCCACCCTGCAAGGTCTTATGTCCTATCTGGACTCAAATTATTTTTTTACTTTTTTAAAAATTAAAATATCCCCAAAGAAAAAGACCCCCTAATATTCCCCCCCACACTATAATTCATTGCTCCCTTGACACAAGGTAAATGTATAAAACGACAAGTCTACGGCAGCCATTTCAAGTCATAATAGGATTTCCCATCATGGCTCAACCCCAAATGCTCACTCTCCACAGGAAATTAACCCTTCATTTGCAAAGAAACTATATATCCATCCTTCTTATTTGCAGGAAACTTTCAGATATACCAGGATACAACTCCTGGAACGTGCACCAATTCCCAGGGACTCCCGTGGAGCCAGAGTGGTTCCAAATCCGCTGTTGCTGCCTCTGTTCCTCACATGGTCCCGTGGCTCCTAGAGCCCAACTCAAACCAGCCCATCTTCTCCCGTGTCAGATCCAGGTCCCGTAGTCTGATAATGACCTCCCCAAGGAGGATGTTCTCCCAGAAGCCCTCTTCACTCAGGACACTGAGACGCAGCTCCCGCTGGTGGAGGTCTCCTTTTGGAATCCCATCATAAATAAGCTGCAAGATACAGAAGGTGTCAGGGTGGAAGTTGACTGCCTTTTTTTGGAAGGCTCAAATAAGCAGCTGCCAACAACATGACTACACAATACATTGTTCCTGGGTGTGTCTCCTGATCCAGTTGACAGATGTGGTCTGAAAGTTCAGTATTCAGAACTTGCTTCTTAAGTGCGTGGCACTGTTTGTGGATTGGGACCATAGTGTATGGGAAAAGGGAGCTGTTTTCGTGACCTGACACAGCTCCAGAGATCCACTACTTGCCTTGCTGGGGAATCTTAACACATAGCATGAAGGGAGCGGGGGCTTAAACCACTTTCCCCATCCCTCCAATCCAGACGGGGCCCCAGTGCACATGGGAACCAAATTCTAATCATAGGAACTCTCAAACCATGTCTGTTGACTGGACATAGGATGTATATTGTGTAGTTGGTCTCTCAGGCCACCAAAGCAGAATATCTGTTCCAAATTATTTAGGACACTCTTGAATTATACAGATGTACCTTAACACAACACTATATTTTTCCAACTTGTAGCTCCAGGTAAGCATTATCTGCCATGGGAAACCAAGAATAGCAGCTATCAAATAGTTTTAAAAGTCTTTCAAGAAACTTCTATCGGTAAAAAGATTAAACTACAGTAAAAGCTTTGTTATCCAGCACTTGACTGTCCAAAAATGTTCAGTTAACCAGCACTGCTCAGAGGATAAGCTCCTCCCTTAGCTCCCATACCACTGCATCTTTGGGCATGTGCACACCCCACTCCCCATCCAGCCAGCTTGATGCCTCTGGCTGGTGTTGCGTTTCTGACAGCTGGCACTGCTTGGGTGCTTTCCTCCCCTTTAGTCTGCCTCAAGCTGGCAGGAGCTAGCCCTGCTGGAGGACTCCCAGGAAGCTGGCTCACCTGTCCACCTGCCACGTAGGATGTCCTTGTGGCTTAATGGGAATGGTCCTGCCAAGCATGGGTGCTGTTGCCAAAGCATTCCCAATCAAGTGGAGTTTGTTTGCTGCAGATTCTTCTGTGGGTAGGGTGGGGTAAAGCAACTAGCTTACGTATGTGATGTGTGCTGGATAGCAAAGCTTTTACTGTACTGTAGTTCTCACACATTTTGAATGGTTATTCTTTCATGATTAAGCAGAAACAAATTCTCCATACAGCCAATTCTGCAGCAAAATGGTGGTTGCTGAAAGATATAACAGAAAATCTCTTATAGTCTTTGAAAAGCACTAACTTGAAACGTGCCTTCACTTTTACAGTGGTTGGATCTTTTATGACAAAAATCTGTTGAAATTTTTGTGAAATTGTTTGATAGCAACTGTCCTTGGTTTACTCTGATGAGTGCAATGAATCTCTTAAACTGGGGTAGAGTTTTTCTCAGCCTGTGTCTATCATAAAGAAATGAAATAGGTGAAGCATTTTCTATCTCCTCTATGCCAGAAAAACCTTCACTTTCTTAATTTCTGTGCTATTAAAAGGCAAAGGAGTATAACCGGGGTGGGGGTGGCTATTTCTGTTAGTCCCATTATTTCATTAGAGGTGGGCTATAGTTACTTTAAACTTTTATACTAGGAAATTCGGGAGGGATAAATGAATTTCCCTGGAGTCACTTTGCTTGATTGCCTCACACTGGTGGATACAGTGCACAAGTAGAGGGGCATGCTCAAACTGGGGAGGGAGACAAAGATTCTTCTTAACAAAGGATCCTTCTATACTTTACAGTGCATGCATTATAGCTGCCTTGGCATTCTCCACCTGTATATAATGGGGTTAAATCAGCTTTAGCAGGCTGGAAATTCAAGTGATTAGGCCTGAGTTCAAAGTGCTGTACCTTCCTGCTCCAGCTGCTGGGTACAGTTAGGTTTGCTACTATCTAAATACAATATGCTCCCTCTCAATAGCAAATATAAAGAACAAATGCTGTGGGCACCAGTCCTCTGCCCAGATTTCCCTGTGACCAGCTTTGCCTCTGTCCTAACCCATGATGGCTAAAGATATATTTCCAGATATATTTGCTTCTTTTATAAAACACTGACAAATTTTGCTCTGACCTGGGCAAACCTACCAGCAAATATTTATGGAATCAATTCATTCTCTAAACATAACAAAACATATAGAAGGCAGGGGGAAAGGGGAATAATCTCAGCCAGTTGCCTACATTTTCAAACGCCAACACAAAGTTGAGAACTTCTAACTGCTTGAGCATCTGCCTGTTTTTATCAAGTCTGTATCAGTCCCTGCCTCAGCCCACTGAGGCAAGGCATGCAGGAATGTACCATTTCATTGTAAGTTGGGTTGCAGGTTTTTCGAGCAACTTTAGTTTTCCTCTTGGTAGTTTTCTGGGGATCAGGCAGAAGATAGATCTTGACATAAGGGTCAGGGTCACTGCCATCCTGAAGAGGCTGCTGAAAAAGAAAGAGGATGCCATTCCTGGCCGCAGGTTGTTTTCATCACACAAGATTGCAAACATGAAATAAGTCTGGCCAACTTGGATAGTCACAGCCCAGCACTTACCAGACCTCGGATGTGCATCACCATGATAAAGAGCTTGTTGTTCTTGTAGGAGATTGACAGCTTCACTTCTCCACCCATCTTCCCAACAGGCTGGGACCATGTGGCATCTAGGGAGAAAATGAACAGTCTGCAGTTTTACAGATGATTATAAAATATCTCAAATAATTTGTATATTTTTTGTTTTATATTTTTACAATTTATTCACCATATATTATTTATCATATAAGCCTTAAGTACGTGCTTTTCACTTCGGAGGAAGCTTTGAGCTCACTAAGAGACTTTTTGCAGCGTTCATTGAAAAATTTGGATAAATATTTTGGTATTTGGCAACCTTGTGCTTGGAAATATCTGTTGAACTCCCTGAGGAAGACACTGAAACAGGAGGATATCTGGACCTCTGTTGGAGGAAGACTGAGCACTTATTCAAAATAGACTTAAAGGACTCCTCCCTCTTAAAACTTTTGTATAATTAAGGAGAACTGATATTAATAAAGGGGTTCTGCAATATCTTTTGTGATATATTAAGAGACGATATTTAGATGTTTTGATATATGATTCTTTCTATGTATTAAGGCTTATATGATAAATAATATATGGTGAATAAATTGTAAAAATATAAAACAAAATATATATAAAAATTGAGATATTTTATAATTGTCTGTAGCATGATATTTGCTGTTTTTTCGTATTTCCTACTTACCGTGGGTCCTATTTTGGTTTTGTGAACAGTCTGCAGTTTTGGCAGAACAAAATAGTATTTCTAGGCACACAGAGAAAGGTGGCTGCAATACCCAGGTCAGAGCAATTTGTACCCATTTTCATAAAGTTTGCACACTTTATCTTTCTAATCATCCCCACCACACACCTCATTCATCTCCCATTTAGCCGATATTCCATCTGTCTTCTGTCCTATAAATGTGTGACATACGTTAAGATTTGTCCTACCGCACCACTCAAAACCTGATGTCAATTACTTAAAAATACATAAGGTAAAGGTAAAGGTTCCCTTGCTCGAAAGCCAGTCGAATCCGACTCTAGAGTTGCGGTGCTCATCTCCATTTCAAAGCCGAAGAGCCAGCGCTGTCCGAAGACATTTCCGTGGTCATGTGGCCAACATGACTAAACACCAAGGCGCACGGAACGCTGTTACCTTCCCATCGAAGTGGTACCTATTTATCTACTTGCAATTTCTTGCTTTCGAACTGCTAGGTTGGCAGGAGCTGGAACTAGAGATTATTTAACTTTCCATCATGCGCACAAAATACATAAGCCCCAATTAAAATGCTCTCTTTAGGAAGCAGCAGCAGATTGTTTTATGTGACCAACACTTTCAGTTATGTTTCCAAACATACCAGATTGGTATTATGACAGCCAAGTGAGGGACCCGCAAGGACTTGCAGGGGCATCTCACTTCCCTCCCCTCCACTGTTTCATTTTTCTTTTCCCCAAAGTCTCCATAGCCTCCCTTCTTTTCCGGCTTCTTTCTTTCTTTCCTTCCCACCTACCAGCTAACCTATATTTATCTCTCCCACCATCTTCAGCTTTCCCTCCTTCACACCCCTTGGACCCTCCACCTATGAAAACTATGGCCAGTTGCACGGTGCCAGCTGTCAGGCTGGGCCCAATTGTTTCCGGGAGGAGAACCTGCAAGGACTTATTGGGGCACCTCACTTTTCTCTGTATCCCCCTCTCCATACTATTCCCTCTTTCCTTTCTCGCCTTTCCCTGCTTCCTTCTGTCCTCTCACCCACCAACCAACCTTCCTTTTATATATCTTTCATCTTCAGATATATTTATTACTTGGTGTTATGTATTAGGTCTGGAACATTCCAGGACTATCTACCAGAGACTGGCTGAGTTTGGGGCTCTAGAACAATAGCCCACGAGGACTCTGGAGGTGACTAATGAGGAACTAATGTTATGTAAATAGCCTATCCTTGGGAGTTGGGTGTGTTTGGGTGTGGCCCCAGAGCCTCTTTCTAGATCCCGTTGTATTGCTTTCACAACGGGCTTTACTGCTAGTCACTTAATAAAATAGAACTGTACACTGCAATACATCTTGAACCCAGTATTTAAAACTTATGTACTTCATTAGTAACTTTTCTTTCTCCACAGTGGGGACTCATTACACACATTGGCACTGAACTGGCTGCTGGTGAACTGTAGGAAGCAGGTGAGTCATGCAAGCTGGGAGGTATTAAGTTGCTTGGTTGTTGCTGCCAGGCTGGCTCAATGAGTCCTCTCTCAAAGGCCCAAACAGCTCTGGAAAAGGCCCTGCCCTCTCGCCCTCCTTTTTACTTACAGAAACCAAGTCTCCCACAATGGCCACTGATCTCAGAGGTTTCTTAAAGATACACATGTTGCTTTTATCAATGGACTTTTCCAGGTTTCCTATTTGTCTTACAATTTCTTAAAGATACACAAGTTGCTTTTATCAATGGACTTTTCCAGGTTTCCTATTTGTCTGCCAACCCAGGACTTTTCCCAGGTCTATACAAAGATCTGTTATGTCTGTTCAGGACTCCAGTCTCTGGATTTAAGTATCCACAAATTTGGCTATGTTGAGAATTAGATATATTGATTTCACACTGAGGTGTGCTGTGCAAGAGCCTTGGCTTTCCTTCCCTACCCCCAGTACTGATCCAGATGCAAAGGCTGTATCATTTCTCAACACAGAACTAGTGTGGTGGTGTGCTTAGTGTGCTTGACTAGGAGAGAGAAGTCCCACGTCCCATGTACAAATCCTTACTCTACCACTTGAGCTTATGGGGTGGCCCTGGGCCAGTCCCTCTCAGCCTAACCTAACCCACATGCTGGTCGCTGTGAGGGTAAGATGGAGAGGAGAGGACCCCGTATGCTTCCCTGAGCTTCTTGGAGAAAGGATGAGTTAAAACAAGTTAAGACAGATGTTTACCTGCAGGCTTTGGAGCTGGGTTGGTGCCTGCAGCCACGTCATCCCTTGGAAGGGGGTGAAAAAATGTATACAGCAGATCAGACTGCAAAAAAAGCAGATTATTAGGTCAGATACAATTTTACTTTTCTAATCATAAGTCATTCACTTCTGATCACCACAATACAGGGTTGCCAGGCAGGGCCTGGTAACTGGCAGGGGGACTTACTAGCGGTTGGGACCCTTCCCAGCAACACAGTGAGGTCACTCCCTGTGTGCCCAGACCTGACATCAGCATGTCGCCAGGGGTGCTCCGGCATTTGGGCAAAATGTAATAAGAACATAACCGGCATCCCCCAGTAACACACTGACATCACTTCTGGGCACACCGGGAGTGACGTAAGCATGTGGGGACACTGCCAACATTCTTCCCCCATGATTTTTCCTGTGATTTCCTCCCTGAGTGGTAGCAGGGAAGTGTCTGCTGGTGACAAGGGATGCCCTGCTGCCAGCAGGACATCGCAGCCCTGCCACTTCATCATGTCAAATGATGCTTTGGTTGGGTATGTTATCTCTACATAATAATCAGCATGATAATTGCATGATAATCAGCTCATAATAAGCGAATACATTTTTGGGGCTGGAGAATCCTAAAGCTCCTTACTACATAAAATGGTTATGATTATGCACAATAATCATATATTGGTCCAAAAGTTAAGGATTATGTCCTCCCATTATATGAATGGGAAAGCAAAGTCAAATGATGGGTAATCTAGTTGCCAAATTCCCAGCAGGGATAGTGCTGCTCTCAGCTTGCTGTCGCTGTCACACAAGTTCTCCTGCCTCTTGTGCTCTGGATATTCTCCAAAAATTAAAATGAGGCTCCCAGATTTAAAACTGGAAAAGGAAGGGGAATGCACCTTATGTTTGTATCATCAAGGTTACCTTAAGCAGCATTTCAAGTGTTAACAGAACTGCAGAAACAGACATTTGTAGAAAAGAACAAATGACACTCCAGTATACATTGCAGCCCTTTCATACAAGTTATTTTTGGTCTTGCTTACATCATCATCATTTCCCTTTCCCACCGCAAGGGACTGTTCATACCTCAGCCACTTCAGGGGCAGCACGGAGTAGATTCCAGATGTAGCCATTCAGTTCTTCTTTCCTCTTTTCTGCAACTGCCTCCCCTCGTGAGCGTCCAATCACAAACCTGCTGGGAAAGCTGGGAAATTGTGGGGTTTGGGGGGGGGGAATAAGAGACATAAGCATAAACCACAACCATAAAAGAAAAAGCTCCCTGTTCCCTGCAATGGTGTTCTGCACAAATTAATTTTAGAAGGCTCAATCTTATCACATTGTAGTATGTGAACTACAATCAATATCATTCTTTGCCAGTTTAAATGCAAACCACTTCTTATTCACATTCTAGACCAGAGGTGTCAAACATGCAGCCCATTTGTTAGATACAGCCTGCAGAGGGCTCAAATCTGGCCCCTGAGCAACTTCCTTCTCCTGCTTCCTTTCCCAGGGCTGCTGCTGCAGCCGCACTGGAGCTTGCTTTTTCCCAGTTCTCTCAGTGGTTTTTTGCTTCCTGCGTCTTGCCTCCCTCACCCCTTCCCTTGCGCTCTCTCTCTCTCTCACACACACAGAGCTCCATGGCTGCTTCCTGCTGGAGAGATACAAAGACAAGCCCCCTTCCTTACATGCATGCGCACATGCACGCACACAGCTTCTGTTTCCTTCTCCAGGGCTTCTTCGCCTCTTTTGGGGAGGGAGGGTTGAAGAGAGAGAAAACAAAGTTGGAATCCCATTTTATTCCAGGTATAAGTTTTTATGTGCAAGCATACTTCTTGGGAGGGAGGGAAGGAATTGGTGGGTGGGTTCTTCTGACAAGCCCAATGTACTTTGAGGAAATTATTTTGGTTTATTCTGAAAAGTTGTTTTTTGTTTTTTAAATGGATTTCTCTGTTCCTATCTGGATTTCGCCCCCCAAAAAGAGCTTGATTAGGAATTAGAACACTTGGATTGGTCCTTATATCTTGGAGAGTAGAGTGATTTCAGATGCCAATGATAATAGCACACATTGGTAATGTGACAGGTAAACTAGCTCACAACTCATTCCAGGAGGATGCATTGTCTTGAGCTTTATTATCAATTGCAATTCAGCAGCCTCGCTTTCTAATCTCACTTTGAAATTCCTTTGTAAGAACACAGCTACTCTTAGGTCAGCAACTAAATGTTGTGGTTTCTAATGTCAGATGTATGTCCATTTATTCTTTGCATCCTCCTGGACTGAATCCTCCTGGATGGAATAGAGACCTAGGTTTCCTGTCTAATTACCAATGCTGGTGTCTCCACACCTACTACCCCTCTGCATATCATACCTAACTCAATCAAGCCTGCTATTGTCATTCATCTGCTACTGAAATCACCTTTATAAATTTTATATCTCCGGTACCCCATGTTACATTTTATGACATGCATGTCCGGGCCCAACAAAGTGACATTTATGTCAAATCTGGCCCTCCTAACAAATGAGTTCGACACCTCTGTACTAGACAGCCAGCATGACATAGTGGGTACAGAGTCAGACTAGGATCTGGGAGACCCAGGTTTGAATCTCCACTCTGTCATGAAAGTTTGCTGGGCCTGTCACACTCTCAGGCTAAAACGGAGGAGAGGAGAACAATGGAAGCCTTTTTGGGTCCCCAATGGGGAGAAAGGTAGAGTATAGATAAATGTACATATATTTATACCTGACCAGCAGATTAAAAGGTTACTCATTCATGGTGCTTTCTACTGAAAGACTGTAGGGAGGCTTTACTACGGCAGGACAGCTTGTGATGCAAATAGTTCACTGCATGTTAATAAGAAGTGTTTCTTTCTGCTCAAAGGTACAAATCATGGAAGCAATAAGCCTTGGCCTGAGTATGTGGATATAAGCCAAGAACAGGTTTTCTCCAATCACCTCTTGAAGTGTGAAGACTCAGCATCAAGCTATAGTGGTGCAGAATGCATCAAAGCCAGGTATATACCATGGGAATGCATGCAGAGCAAATACCAAGCAAACCACATAACACAAAAGAAAATAAAGCTTTTGGATTTCTGCCCAATCTGACTAGTGGAGGAGCTTATTTCCTGACCCCCAAATACGGAGGTCTTATTGTGAGTAAACCACACACACACACACACACACACACACACACACGGCTTGCCAAAGAGAAACTTACTTTATTAGACAAAAGCAAGAAAGCACAGAGCAGAGGAAGTGCCCAGGAAGAGACCTTTACACGTGTATAATCAAATGCACAAATGTGTATACTGATTCTACACTCAGTAATAGAAGCACAAATGGAAAAGGAGTCTTGTAAACCAATGGAGCTAACCTGGGTAAAAGAGAGGAAGGAACTATGAGGCGCAGTTTGTTATGCAACTCCTGGAACTCCTCAAAAGTGCGCTGGATGTAGGTGATCTCAGAGGGGTTCTCCCGTTTCACTTTCACAATGTATATCTGTAAGGCAGGGAAAGTATCCTTGAAGTCCAACTGCAGATCCCAAGAATGTTGATCCACAAGAGGCACAAACTGTCATCTTTGACTTCTAGGACCATCTCAAACTCCAGTCCATTGACCCATCATTGGAAGGTGCTAACAACTGCAGATCTTCCCATGTTCCCCTCCCTCCAGAGATTATTCTGACCTTGGAAAATTTACTCCCAAGGGTGTGGGTTGGGAAGCTGCAGTGAAAAGGGTAAATGGGCGAAGTCAATCCTTCATCTTCCATGAGCGGAACTGCACTGACGGAAGAAGCAGAAGACAATTTCATTCATTTTCTCCTAGCCACTGCAGCCTCCCAACCTGCATGGCTATTAGTCCACATGGGTGCCATGACCCTGGGAATGAGCCTTACTGGAGTCAAAGAGGGCTGCTTGAGGAAACATGGGAAATATATGTGATCCTTGTGTACACATTGCAGGAGCTAAACCACTGCCCATTGCCCACTATCCTCTGATTACACCAAAATATTTACTGACAGGACTCACATAGCCCTTGCTGGGATTGAAGACTTTTTCATGACGCCACAGGAAGACATCAACGATCCGGCTAGATGTCTTGATAGTGTGCACACGGGGAGCAAAGGAAAGTGTTGGCCGGGAGTCTGAAGCTGTGAATTTCATCTGTGCCAGATTGTGAATGAAGAAGTTGAGCTTCGTGGCTACACTGCCCAGACTGGACTCTATCAACCTGCATCACAGTATGAAATGTCCAAGTTGTAGATAGACAAGGCATTGGCTGTTCTACAGCAACATGTTCAGAAGCCCCAACAGTCTGTCATATAGAATCTTGGAAGACCAAAGCTTCCCTAGATCTTCCTATGGAAGCAGCTTTGGGATATTTCATTGGTTGATAACTTTTCCTTCCACCCATTAGGGTTAATATTTGCACCCTCTCACCTGGTGAAATAGGTGGTAGCATCGGCCTCAGAGTCCTGTGGTCTCAGTGCATCATAGACATACTTTAGGTCCTCAAGGTCAGACAACTCAGGGATCCCACAGGATAGCATCTGTGTGTCAAACAAGCCCCAGATTAGCATCACACCATTACTCAAGCTGTGTACATCCCATGTTCCTGAGATGTACCACATGCAATCTGGCTTCTTAAAAACTCCCCCCCCAAAAAAAAAACCCCACAGGGAGAACAGTGAGGGGAGGAAAGATGCATCTTCCAAGAATCCTGCACCCTTTTGAGAGCCCCATGCCATGAGGAGTTTCCATAGCATAAGCAATCCAGATTTTAATTAGTGGACAGTGCCTCCCCTTCAAAGCTCTGTGGTGCCAAGAACAAGCAGGCATCTTTCTCCTACCTTCTCCTCCCACCCAGTGTAGCGTGCAGGACTTGAGTTTTACCCCACACCAAGGTGTGCAATAGTAGAAGAAAAGGTAGGAGAAACAGTGGCCACATATTCATTTAGGTGAGCCTCCCTGCTTCCTCCAAGCTCTTCCCATTCTTCGGAAGAGTCATGCAGCCAAAATTGTTTTCCTTTTGGCCAGGAAGAGAAGTTACCCCTCACCAAGATAAATACTTATCTTATACTCTACTCAGGCCAGATGAGAAGGTTTAAATCAACGGGCTGAGTCACAAGAGACAGAGGGGATGCTTCATAATGGAGGAACTGCGGGCTTGGAAGGCCAAGAGCAGTTCCCTGCTCTTCAGATCAAGATGCATTTCCACCACTCTGTATCTTTCTGCACAACACCCTAACCCCTAACTGCAAAAGCCAGCAACCAATCCTGTGATACAGGGCTCAAGCAAGTGTTTAAAAGATCCTGACTGGACAGATGCAGAACAGCTGAAAACTATGGGGAACAGAGAAAAGGGGATGGAGTGTCTCACCAAGCCCAACAGATTGATGAAGAGATGAGTGTGCTTGCGGATCAGGTTGTAGGCCTGGCAGCAGAGATCAACAAAGTCATGGAAACGGCTGGAAGGCTTGTCCCCACCATTGATGACATATGCCATATCCGATGTGAAGACAAATGGAGCTCGGTCCCTGTATGGAAGCAATGCAGATATATGAGATTATGGCCAATCCCAGGTACAAAAGAATCCCGAAACATTTCACAGAGGAGAATAAAGTACCACGGCTTTTACATTCAGTGAACAAGGGCTTTGTAGCGTATTAGCAGACAGTCGAATGATAGAACGGGTGGCATGCTCTACCCAAAAGTTTTAAAACAACAGGTTTCCCGCCATATCAGAAACGACACTTTACATGTAGAGATCCATATATTGGAACTTTTGTATGGTCACCAAATATTCTGCTAGATTCGAGTCCAGGAGCCCCTTAGAGACCAACACATTTTTTTTGCAGTATAACCTTTCAAGAGTCAAAGCTCCGTCAGATATCTGACAAAGCTCATACCCCAAAAATTTTGTTGGTCTCTAAGGTGCTACTGGACTAGAACCTAGCTGTAGTACTGCAGAATAACATGGCCGGCTACTCTATGAAAAATATTCTGCTGTTAGCATACTACAGCATCTGAAATTTCAAAACACAAATGTGAGCAAAGTTGTCAGGTTTAAGTAAGTAGATGTGGCAGTAAGCGCCTTAGGTAAAATTTAGCATATACCTTGAAACTCCATGTACAATAAGAAAATAGGCACTATACAATAGGAAATCCAGTGTATCCATGCAAATAGATAGCTCATGTGCCTCCCACATTAACTATAGTAGCCGAAAACATGGTTACACTTACCTGTAACTGATGTTCATCAAGTGTTTTCTGTGCAGGCACACATGGGACTGCTTCAGAGCAGGTCTGCCACTAGGGTTGCCAAATCATTCTTACCTCGCGGTGGGGGGCTCCCGTTTGGCGTCTTGAGCATGTGCACGCCGGGGTGGGGTTTCCCCCGGGGCCTGATTCCGCGGCGGCGGAAATTGGGCCTCCAAAGCGGGGGGAAATCCGCCCCCCGGGGGGAATTGGCAGCCCTATCTGCCGCAGAGGAGTTTTCTACAAGCTTCTGGAATCTACAGCTGAGTGCTCCCTCTCCCCCCTTGGCACAGCAAAGCTTCAAGCTCCATTCCCACCCAAATGATCACATGACAAGGGACAGAAGCAGCACTCTTACCTTAGTCCTCCTTCCACCACTGTGGAGATTGAGAAGGAGTTGTATGGCCCACAATGGGGAAGGAGGGAGGGATTTCTGCCTGCACAGAAAACACTCGATGAACATCAGTTACAGGTAAGCACAACCATGTTTTCATCTTCCTGTCTTCTATGCAGTCCCACGTGGGAGATTAGCAAGCTCCCTTACCATGGAGGTGGGTGTGGGGCTGGTAAATGAAACAGAGATTGGAACACTGCTTTCACAACAGCCGCCTCTCTCCTGAAATCTACTTTGATGGAGTAGTGTTTGATGAATGTCAATGAAGATTTACTCTGCAGCTCTCCCTGATGTTGAGGTTGCATCAAAAGCCTGCTGAGGAAGCTTGAGCCCTTGTTGAATGCACTTCTAGGGGAAATGGGCATTCCAAACCTGCTCTACTGTTAGTGTATGACATCTTAATTGCAATCGTCACCTATCTAGACAGGGTTTGTGATGATACTGCTTTCCTCTTCTTTGAGTCTTTAAAGCAAACAAAGAGGTTGTTATCTTTCCTGAATGTTGAAGTACAATCTAAATAAAATATCAATGCTCTCCTCACATCTAACATGTGCATTGCTTATTTTGCTAAGGACTGAGGTTCAGGGAAGAAGACTGGAAGGATTATGTCTTAAAACAGGTGAAATTGAGAAACCACTTCAGGAATAAAGTCGAGACTGGGCCTCAAAATTACTTTATCCTTGTGGAATCTAATAAATGGTGGGTCAAACCTGAGCGCTCTAATCTCACCCACTCTGCATTCTGACGTTATTGCAACTAAGAATGCCATTTTATAAGATAATAAGGAAAGATCACATGAAGCCATGGGTTCAAAAGGTTTATATATGAACTGAGATAACACAAGAGAAGGATTCCACTGAAGGACTGGGGGTTTAACTGGTGGGTACAAGTTAATGACACCTTTAAGGAACCTTTTAGATAGTGCATTTAAAAACACAGATTTAGAATCCACCCCAATATGAAAGGCTGATATGGCTGTTAGGTGTATGTTGATGGAGGAGGTGGATAGACGTAAATCTATCAAGGAAAGGAGGTAGTCAAATCTCTGATAAGGGACAGGACTCTGGTCTAATTCTCCTATTGGCCATGTAGTAAACATTGCCATTTAGCTTTATACGAAATCCAGGTAGCTGGTTTGTGTGATGACACTAAAACTTCCGCCACCCTGTCTGACCATTGGTCTATGGTGAAACTAACCATGCACTGAGATGTAACATCTCCAGGTTGTGGTAATGGGCAGACCCACTGCGAGAAGGCCTTGTGCTCATGGTAGAGCTATTCTTCTGCCCTTGGCCAGGCTCCACAAAGTTGGGAACCATGTCCTCCTGGGCCACAAGGGGGATATTAATATACATGCAACTCTTACACAATATTCTGGGAACATCTCAGTGTGAGTCTGGAATAGCCCTGAGAGCCGAAGTTGGGGAGATGTCTTATGAAGCAAAAGCCTGGGGAAGAACACTCAATTTGAAAATTGAGACTCTAAAATCAAACCCAGATCGAAACCTCCTCAATCTAGTCAAGCTGGACCACCACACAAGTGATTGGGACATATTATTGGACCATAAACGATTATGTCTGGGTATCACCCATGATGTGATCGAAACCACAAGTAGACAAGAATTTTTACAGCTCATTAGAGGACATTTGAGAGACTATGACAACACATCGATTAGAGCCTGCAGAGTGTGTTCAACATTTTCAGTAGGCATTCAGCCTCCAACAATGCCAAACTACTTATCTGAGATAGTTCTTCCAAAGTCTAGAAGGGCATTCATGCTAGCGCGCCTGAAGGCCCTACCTTCAGCTGTGATGTCGGGAAGTTTTAATGGGATTTCATACTCAGATCGACTTTGCAATTGCAGCAGCAGTAAAATAGAATCTGTGGATTATATTGATTGTCCCAAATTTTCAGCTCTAAGAGATTAACTGACTCCCCTTTACTTAATCAGGACTTCCTCTCTCCAGAAGCAAAATCATCCTGGTTGCTTAGAGATGAAGACAAACTACCCTGCGTGTGGCAACATTTCTAGTAGCTGTTGTCAAACCACATGACAACTTTTGCAGTAGCAACCTTTACATTCTTCCATGTTTTCCTGTGGAACGAGGTTTATTGTGGGACAAGGGTTTGCTGTTTATGACTCCGGTTGCAAAAACAGTAAAGATGATATACACACAGTGTTTTCAGTTTCAACACCATGCGGTGGAGGAGTGTAAAGGGTGGGGCAGCATAATAAAGGGTGTAGGACCATAGCAGATGGAATGCGTCTCCCAGTGATCGGTTGTCCATGGTCATTCTCAAGCAGAAGGACTGGCATTTTGTGTTGTCTGCCAAGGCAAACCTGAGGGTGACCCCATGTTTCAAAGATTGGGAGTAAATATTTCATGTGTATGGACCACTCGTATGTTGAAAGTGGGTCTCTGCTTAGGTGATCTGCTAACTTTATTTATTTTATTGGATTTGTATCCCGCTCTCCCCGCATAGCAGGCTCAGGGCAGGTTCCATCAAATATAATATACAAACAAAAACAATTAAAATACATCAGATACAATACAAAACATCTATGTTTCTAGTTACAGCCTTGTTGTCTTATCCTGCTATCTATATGGCTATCAACTCTGTTTTGGTCTGAATGGTCCAATCCCATAGAAGTCATGGCTCCTTGCATAACCTGAGGGAGCCCATTCCCCCTTGTTTGTTGATGTAACGCTTGGTCGCTATGTTGTCCATGGACAGCAGCAGCATCTTTCCATGGATGATGACTGAAAGGGAAGCAAGGGCATATCTAATGGCTCTAAGCTCTAAAACATTAATGTGGAGGCCTGACTCAGCAGGACTTCAGTGCCCATTAACACCAAAGCCAGTTTCGTGTAGTGGTTAAGTGCACGGACTCTAATCTGGGACAACCGAGTTTGATTCCCCACTTCTCCACTTGCACCTGCTGGATGACCTTGGGCAAGCCATAGTTCTGGCACAGCTGTTCTTGAAAAAGAGCAGTTTCTGTCAGAGCTCTCTCAGCCCCACCTACCTCACAGGGTGTCTGTTGTGGGGAGGGGAAGGGAAAGGCATTTGTAAGCTGCCCTGAGACTCCTTTGGGTAGTGAAGGGCAGGGTATAAATTCAATCTCTTCTTCTTAACACAAAATGAACCACAGTGAGCTCCTCAACCTTTTAAAGAAGCATCTGTAAACAGATGTTCTTCTGAGGGGGTCCCAACTGCATAACTCCCTTTTGGAGGAAATGCTGAATCTCTTGCTGTAGAAGCAAGTTGGAAGTAGTCCCTTTGGGACTAAAATCAATACAATAAGGACTGGGTTTAAATTCTAGAAAGTATCCAAACTTTATTATATGCAAAACAAACTATTTGTGTAATTGAACTCCAATGGTGTGCAAACAAGGAAAGCTTATCAGAAAACTGTGGGAATCTACCCAGTCATTGGGGTGCCCTTCCTTTAGATGATGAGTATCTGGGAGATTGTGCTCCCTGTCACCCCCTCTGCCTAGGCTGTTGCCGTCTAGGTTGGTTCTGGGAATTAAAGGGGGTATGATAGTGTTGGTGATTCTGGGTGGGTAGAAATCTGTACGACTTCCTAAATTGATACTGTTGTTGTGTCTGGGGAAGTACCTGGGTTTAAAGTTCCCGGCTTGATACCCAGAGACTTGGCTGTCAAACTGTTCTTACGGATCCTGTCAAGCACCACATCTGTCTGCTCACTAAAGAGGGTCTTCCCTTCAAAAGGAAGATCTACATGGGCCCTAGTGTCTGGAGGGAAGGCCAAAATGCTTAACCATGAATGACATCTTATAACCATTGCAAACCACATGACAACTTTTGCAGTAGCCATAGTTTGGCTGCATGCATCTGTCACATGGTGTGACACACAGAGTTCCTGTTTTCCCAATTTTATCCCCTCTGCTTGTACAATCTTTGCCTGATTTTTCTTGTCATCTGAGAGTGTCTCTATGTAATGAGACATTCATTTTCATAAATAGATCTGATCATGAGCCTTAAAATTAGCTTTGCAGAGACCTAAGACTCCGGGATGTGTAGACCTTGCACCCAAAGATGTCTAATTTATGACCCTTCTTGTCAAGGGGGGCTGAATGCAGTCCTGCTCTTTGCTTGGATGGGAGGACTTCCGTCACCAATGAGCTGGCTGGAGGATGCTGAAATAGGAATTCTCGTTCCTCCTCTCTAATCTTATTACACGTTTTCCACTTTCTTAGTGGAGGTTTGACTGGAGGCTGGTTTAGCCCATGTGTTTCTTGTTATTTCGAGAATGCCTTTAACCATTGGCAGGGCTATTTGGGTTTGTTGAGTACAGCACATTCATAATCAGGTCTACAGCCCTCAGTTCTGGAGATGTGTATTCAATCTCTAGTGCCTTAACCATTCTAACAAGTTGTTCAGAATATAACTTAAGATCTTCAGTTGGAGAAACAGGTGTAGGGTCTCCCACGGTGTCATCAGGTGAGGGAATGGAAGTTCACTCTGAGTCATTTTCTGATTCTTGGCCTGGTTGGGTCTCAGGATTTGCATAGGAGTATACAGTGTCCTGGGTTGTTCGATGGCTCTCAGACGACAGTGATCTAGTGACAGAGCTGGCGTGACAAGTAGGTGGTTGCCACCTAGGGTTGGAAGAAGGACTGAACTGGTTCCATGGGGGCATAAACCATTGAGGAAATGGACACCACTGTGGATGAGAGCTCCATTGTGATGTCTGAGTAGTATTCACATCAGAGGCTGATGTTGAATTACTCCTTCTGTCCAGGGGTGATTAATTCAATCACATCCTCATCTGAGAACTGGTACTCTTTTGAGGCCACAGAAGGGGAAGGAGTATGAGGTTTTTGAAAACATGCTCTGCTTTCATCAGAGGAGTGGTGATGACATTGAGTGTCAGGGCTTTGACGTCAAAGGGATCAAGATCTTCAGGCTGGAGGGGACTCCGATGGCAAGCAATGTGGAGACACTGAAGTGCGTGTTCAAGTCAATAACGGCGATCGATGGTGAGGTGAGCCATTCCAACACCCTGGAGATGTTGAGGAAATCTGCAATTGACCTCAAGGAGAAAGGGACCATTGGTGTTTTGTCGGGTCCTGGATAGGTGGTTTCAACCTCAGGTTCGAGCTGGTCTGTTGCGGTCGAGCAGTCAAGTTGAGTGTTTCAACTTCTTTTTTGCTTTCTTTATAAGGCAGTTGAGAAGCCACTCTTGGGGTCTGTGCCGCCCCTCTGGTATCAGGTTTTGACTTTGGTACTGGCACAAAGACTACTAAAGGAGTCCTGGCCCTTTTTTGAGGAGAATCCACCATTTTGTGAACCCCAAGTGACTGCTCCCTTAAAGCGGATTTGAGGCAAAGAGCCCTTTCTTGCCACGCTTTCAGGGTAAAGAGGCATTGGTTGTGTTCATCACTTTGTGCCATTTTTGTGCCGCAACTGCGGCACTTCTTTAAAAGTGCCATCTGGATTATTATAATTGGAAACTGGTAGGAAAAACATACAATTCTGTAGAAGAAATATTAGTGAAGCTGTAATACATCCTCTCTCCATGGTGGCAGAAAAAGGACTGAGAAAAGAATGTTCCCTCCACCCCTTGTCACGTGATCACTTGGGTGGGAATGGAGCCTGAAGCTCTGCTGTGCGGAGGGGGAGGGGGAGCACTCAGCTGTAGATTCTAGAAGCTTGTCAAAAACTCCTCCACGGCAGGCCTGCTCTGAAGCAGTCCCATGTGCACAAAAGAAACGAAGATGAATGTATGATTATCATTCCAAAATGAAATTGTCTCAGTAAGTGGCCAGTAGGATAAAATAGAGATGTTTATTTTAAAATGAAATGCACATTTAATTGCATACCAGACAACTTTATAGCCAGCATTCTGTGTTTTATATTTTAATATTTCTGTTCCACCTTCATTAGATTTTTATAATGTTTTGATGGAATGTTATTAAATATGCTTACTGAGATCCTGTTGGGGACATTCTGTCTGCTAGATATTTTAAGTGTAAAAGATACTAAAGATCTGTTTGGGGGAGATGACTCCAATGTCCTGGAACCCCTCTATAACTGTGGTGAGGTAGCAATCTTGCAGGTGGTCAAGAGGAGAATTTGGGATATAGAGGCGCAGATCATTAATGCCGGTAGTCTTGGGGTTTGCTCTCCCTATTCATTACCCCTCCTTCCCTTACATACATCCATGGTACCGTATATCGCTAATCTGACAATCCCAGTTTTTAGGAGGGTTTTTATGCTTGCAAGGTTCAACCTTTTCCCTTCAGTAGTGGTTTCAGGTAGATACAGGGGTGTCCCCTATAAGGATAGACTCTGCAACTGTAATCTTGGGGAACCCGATTCTGTTACCCGCATTCTTTTTCGCTGTCCTAAATATTCCGTTATGCGCAATATCTTGATTCATCCTCTCTTCCCTATGCAGAGAGATTTTCTGGATAGGGATTTAACTTTTTTTCTAGCAGACAAGAGTCCAGCAACAACACTATCTGTTGCAGAATTTTTGACCTATGTATGGAAGTCAAGAGTGATACTCTGTAAATCTTGTAAACCATGTTAGGATTGTTTTGTGTTTTTTGAGTTATTGGTAATTTTAGTTGATGTTGTGCCTAATAAAGGTTTTCCTGTTCTGACTCCAATGTAATAACCAACACTTCTCAGCCCTTCATTTTCTCTACTGAGCTGACAAAACTTCAGGATTCATTCTCAAGCAACAACAAACTAATCAACTATTATAGAGAGTGTTTTGCATAGAATACTCACCTCTTGATGTTGCCAAACATTTGGGCATGGCCCAGAAACCTGCCAAAGTCTATGTGGAACATGTGACCAGTGGTCTTGAGCATTATGTTGTCATTATGCCGGTCACAGATTCCCAGCACATAAGTGGCTACACAGCAGCCAGCACATGAGTAGATGAAGTTCTCCACTGCCTGGGAAATTAAGACGTATTGGAAAAGTCATATACAGATTGGACTTGCATAGACAACAGGGCTAACAAAGTGTTGGAGGGAGGGAACCTTGAAAATGCGCAGAAGGATGTTTGGAAAAATAACAAGTTGGGGGCCTGAGATGGCAAAATGGTCCCTGATAGTACCTCGAAAATAGCTTCCTCTCACCTTAGCTACTCTTATACATAATATTTTCCAGTATGAACCACACTGTGCTTTAAAGGCAGCTGCCAAAGTGTGCTAACTGATGTCTTCATCTGAAGTTAGGCCTTATAACCTTGAAGGCAGGGCTTGTTCACTATCTTTCACCAGATACGGCTTGACAACAAATGAAAACTTTTCTTTACTGTGGCTTTATAGCACAGGTTAACGAGAGGCTCTCTTTTGCTGATTTACAGCACTTGAGCTTGTTCATTTTGTGCTCTGACTTCCTTATTTTTGTATACCTGTCTAGGCTGCAAAACTGCCATTCAAATTTGTAATCAAGACATTAATAAATAACTTGAACTCTCCAATTTATCATTTTGCTAGGGAAACACACTTTTTTAGGAATTGCAAGCAAGCAAAGCATGCATATCCTTATCATAGCATTTTTGCTCTGCTTGGGATATACAAATATATCACCACAGATGAGGGACTCGGAACATAATGGCTTTGGCCCTAGTACAGCCCTAGAACATAATTCTGAGCACTGGTTGGTGACTGTTCCTCAAAACAAGAGGTGTTATTTTCTCTCTTCTCCTGCCTTTACCTTCTCATATTCATCCTCCTTAGGGTTGTGCTTTTGCAGCCAGTCTGCAAGGGGACGGTCCTTGAAGGAGCCTGTCACCCCGTGCTCCACTTGGATCTTTCTCAGGGTTTCTGCATTGGGGATCATCTCCACCATCCCTATAAAACACAGCAAAAAGCTACAGAGTTAATTTAGAGGAGCTGCTTTTCTCTTTCTTCCTGCACAAACAACTAATCAAGGAAGAATTTGGGCTGGGATTTTGACTTTAAAGTTTTGGAACATCTTCTCGTTGGGAAATGAAGCCTGGATCCTGCTCCATGAAAGCAGCTTGACTTGATGTGATCCTACCAGCTCAGAAATGCTGCGAAACATCATTAAGAGCTGTGTGTGCTGAGCAATTCAGCTGACCACCAGGGGGAGGGGCTAGAAAAAGGAGACAAAGATGGTTTATCTCTCATATGGCTGGCTACCAGGTCTAATAAAAACTGATGTGCCAGAACAAAGGTAAATGCAGAACAGGTGTTATCAGGACAGGTGACATGACCTTACACACCTGGTTTTCTGTTTATGAAGAATATAAATATTTGGGAATGGGTTCAGAAGACAATGGTCACATTGTCCTCTGGAGGAAATGATCGGGTAAAATTAAGTGACTATTAGCACCAAAAAGTCTAGTTTTCACTTTCACCACAGCTGAAGATGAAGCCAATCTTGAACAAGGAGAAAATAATAAGATACTAGAGTAGGACTCTCAAGTGTAGGGTGTTTTTAAAAAAAACGTTTGCTGTATGTCTATATAAAGTATCCCTAAAAAGTGGTGATATCTATACCCCTTTTACTGATTAGCCATTTCATTTATTTATTACCCACACTGTGCTTTTAATATGTCAGTACAATTCATTTCCTCTTACACTTTTAAGTCTGCATTCTCTTACTGGTTAAATGTTACCCACAAAGAATCCAGATTAATACCACATTGCTTTTTCAGCTCTGAGTGCTAAATTGAACTACCTATCTGAAATGCCACAGCATTCTAGACACACCTGCACAGGAATCCTCAAAAGGATGCCAGTACATGCATCTTCCAAGAACATAAATACCTGTCCAGCAAAATTAACCGAAATTATTCATTACAAGACAATGTTGCAATGGCTATTTGCATAAATGACTTGTTAAAAAGGTATCTGACTATCTAAGCACTAGACTAAAACTAACCCTTTGGATTTATCCAGCAAGGCAGTTTTTATGTTCTTAGCTTTCACACAGAGAGGTGGTAAATTACAGATTCGTAATCTCAGTTCTACAATTCCTGACATATCAGGCCCTATAAACTGAGAGCACCAGAGCTGCTACTGAACAGATGCAAGTACTAGGGAAGTTTCACACCTGTTTCCAGACTTACCACGACCACGGCCTGTTGAAAAACACCGGAATATGACCATGCGCATGTCCAAACCTTCTTGCACCCAAATTTTGTTCATTATGCGAATCATCTGCAACGTTAGCATGTCCTGCCGGAGATCATCTCCACACTGTGAGGAGTAATAGCCCAAAGTAAGATAGGATGTTCCCAGTGTTTTGCAGCTGCTGTCACTGGGCAGAAAACACCAAACAGCTTTCCTCATTTAAGTGCTTCCAACACAAAACAAAATCCCTTCTAAATTTTTCTTTTAAGCAGCAGCCCTCACTTATTTCCACAGGCACTGACACTCTTCAGAGTGGTTTTATGCTTGGAGGTGCATCCATGTGCTTCAGACACAGGGTAGTTTCTTAGAATGATAGCCATCATATGGGGACAAAGTCTCACTCTTGCTCTGCCTCTTGTGTGAGGGGCTGATTGCCCTATCACTTGGACACTTAAAAACACAGAAACAATGTTGAGGCCAGGGATCAATCATCATCAGACATGAGATTATCATGCCAACCTCCTTTTGCATTTCAGGGATGCTACATCCAAGTAATGCTAAGTAATCAGGGATGCTACATCCAAGTGCTACATCCAAGTAATGCTACCTTACCGCAATGTCATACAGTTTTTGACTCAAAAGCAAAATCTTTAGTATAACAGTGAGAATTATTGGGGAATTTGACAAAGCTACTGTACCAACTATTCCAACTCCAATGCCAGCTATAAACCAAATTCTCAAGAACGATAACAGCAAAAGGTCCACCCTAGCAATGGCTAGCTTTGCCTCTAAAGTACGGCACTCTCGCCAAATCTTCTAAATTCGTGAGCCTACTGATTAGATTACCCAGAGCTCAATAACTTCAGCCTCCCAGCATTTTACTCTGAGGATTTGCTTCCAGGTTCATCACAGTGGCTGCAGCTGGTACCCAAAATCAAACTCTTGCAATGAGATCATTTCCTGTAAGAGTGGAGGAGTGAGGATTCTAAGGGGTCCAGAAACCTTTCCAGGGGTCTCAGCTATAAGTTATTTGGAAAAGGAGGACACAGCAGTTCCTTCAAGCTATATCAAAGCGTACAACTATAATTCAGCAGGCAGGAACTGCTTTAGTCCTTCTTGGCTTCTTATCAACCATGAAGGAAGAGAGGTTGAGGAGGGAAGCTAAAGAGTTAGGTGATCAGACAGTGGTACATAGGAGTGCAGAAAAACTTTCTCCCATTGGACCACAGTTTTTCCCAAGAGTATACATGCTGCAGAATAAAATGGCTAATCGAGGGCATCATATTGTCTTACAATTTGTAAAGAGGAGATTGGCTGACCACTAGCAGGCAGAATAGTAGATCAGAATATTGTCAGCTTTGCTCAGAAGGACTTGGGCCAAGAGAATGGCTGTGATCTGCATAATCCAATCAGAAATACTAGGATTTACCTTAAAAATAACACGGATATTCTCTCCAAGAGGGTCAACGTTCTGGAAGGACAGCTTCAGAGGGACGGCATTGGAATTAAAATAGGAGCAATCCTGCAGCCAAGAAGACAGGATTGTGGTGATATAAATCAGTACTCTAATCAATAACAGCAGAAATAAAAGCTCCCTGCCATTGGCAAAAAGGATATCAAAGAAGACTAGGTCGAAATCATTCCAAAAGTACTATAGTCATTCCTTCCAAGGAGACTCAGTTCCACCCCAGTTGTCTGGATTTCCCTTTCTCACAGGAATACTTCTTTTTTTACTTGCTTTTTGATGCTGCCTTATCAAAATATGCAATAACTAGAAGGCTACAGTGGGGGGGGGGTGCCTTTAGTTCTGACAGCTGGATTGACAGGAGGCACCAATGAGATTCTGTAACCACCCCAGTCTCCTGGAGCGTCTATGAGCTTCCATACAAGCTTTGCTCTAGACTAGAAACCCCACTCCCTTATATTTAAAGTAGGTCTCTGCAAAACTGTCAGATGAGTGATCCAGACCACACCTGACCCAAGGTGGCAGAGGTCATACCAAAGGCCTTTCTGGTTTGTGATACAAAAGACTGGCCAGTAGTACAGCCATCCTCCTCAGCCAGGCTGTTCTCCATTCCCACCCCTATTCCAGCACTGAAGGCTTCTCACCGTTCATTCTGTACGAACAGGCCATTGTGCTCTTGGCACCGGGTAGGGGCCAAGTTTGTAATAATTTGGAGTAGCTCATAGCCAAGGAGGCAGAACTGGATGATCATGGTAAATATGGCGGTCTGAAGATTAAGAGTACACTGGATGAGAAATGTAGGTGTGGAAGCTGGCAAACAGATACAACACTGGTGGAAAAAATCAGAAATGATATATCAGGATGTTAATGGATGGGAACCAAAAGACCCTCATCCTCAGGAACTGGCCTATTTGTTATACAACAGAGAGGAAAAAGCTAAAGTGAAGCCCAGCTATGCAAATGGTGCTGCTAAACTTCAGTGCTTGGAAGCTCAGCTGAAGAGCTCTGAAAGAAAACAAAAGCATCCTGATCTTCTACAGTGTATCAGCAACCAGCATTTCCAGCAGGCAGAACCATACCTTAGGCACGATCCCTTTCACAAGCAGGCTTGGACTAAGTGGCAGGCGGCAAGAGCCATTGACATTGAAGAATTGCTTTACATCCTCCAGTCCCTCCCTAAGGATGCCCTGAAAAAACAAATACCAAAGTAGTCTACAAACAGAAAAAGCCTCCATTATTTAATCTCTGTTTCTGCAGTCTGTACTTAGGAGTCACCCTAGTATAGGTCATGCCACCATCCCAAATCGCTCTATACACCAGTTTCTCCCCTCTTGCATTCTACACAAGAAAGCCCCAAATTCTGTGCTGAGTTACACAATTAAAGTAAATTATGCAAATTCTGCAGATCAAATGTTGTTCTTGAATGAGCCGTTTTAAAAAAAACTTTTATGGATTTGCTCAGCTCCCCCTGCTTCCAAGATATAAGCTTTTAAAGAAGCAAGCCGTAACATTTTTTTTTAAGTTATGCAAGAAGTGATGGCAGAAGTCAAAAAGGAAGGGAAAAGCTTGGAACCATGCACTGCAGTTCACCAGCCTATAGAACAATCCGTCCTAGGTTTAGGTTATAGGACTGGGCAGGCATTTGAGCTTCATCTCACAACATTAAGAATATTTCTAAGCAGCAAAGAGTTCTCAGTGACTTGTTGCCAGAATCTTTCATCATCCCAAACAGTAATTCCTTCTGGGAGAGGGTGAACATTTAACCCATGCCACAGTTACTTTCCAGGAGAGGTTGCCCTTTGGACTTTTATGTCTTAAGTGCTTCCATCAGCCTTTGAACTCTCTGAAGAAGAAGCTAAGCTTTCATCAGTACATGCTGTTTGGATAGGTTTCATCAGTATATGCTGTTTGGATGTGTCATTGCTCCCCCCCCCATCCCACCCCACTCACAGTGAAAAGAATGAGATATATTCAAATGCGTGTACCTGTCGTGACGATGGAGCAGCCTCACGGACCTGCTGAGCCAGCTTAGCCAGGGTATTAACAAGCCAGCACTGCCGGTCGAACTCCTCTCGCAAGCCCTTCCCACAACAACACAGCAGAGCTGCCAGCAGATACTGGTAACGGATGCTGAACTGAGAATCCTTAAGTCCATCCTTCAGCAGCCTACAGAGATGGAAACCTGGTCACCAGGACTGGAGTAGTGAGGTATGTGTGGAAGTGTCATGTACATGTGCAGCTAAGCAAAAGCTTCTTCTGGACCTGCCAAATCAGTCTGCTCAATGTTCATGACTTTTTCCAAAGCCAAAGTTCCAAAAACATGCAAAGAAATAATAAGTAGTAAAGGGTAGTCAGGATGTTTGGGTAATGGAACATGAAAGGGCTCTAGTGGCAATGCAAGACGATATGGCGGGAGAGTATTTTTGAAGGTTGCTTTGCAACAAGGATAACTAGAAGCTTGCTTTTTGAAAGCAAAAGTAGATGCTGAACAATCCGATGATGCGTTCCTGCAGATGTCATGATAAAGACAGGATTATATGAACTACCCTTGTCTGTATCCTATTTGAGGAAGAATTTTTAAAAAAGAGAGCTTTAATTTAAAGCTTGAACAAAAGCTGGGGCCTCTGGACTTTTGGTTATAAAGAGTTTGGAAGTGTCCCTGACCTCTGCTAAGCAGCATTAGAACTGCATATTCGGAGCTCTCCCAAATGAAAGTCCCAAACCATTCCATACATATGGAGCACATCCACCAACATTACCAGAAGAAATAGTGGGTAATCCTCAGGTCACAGATGGCTCGCTTCATTAGAAACCGCACCAGAGGACTGTCCAGGTAACATTCATATTTTAGAGCCTGGGAGAGACAAATAGATTATTTCCCTATCAGGCAGTGATGAGCCATGCAGACAGTGTGGTTTTCCTGAGTGGCCAAGAAATGTGAGCTGCAAGGTTGGGGTGGGCAGCAGAAAGATAGGAGAAATATGTCTAATATTGTCAAGTGAGCAGCCTCTGCCCCGGGAATTTACATCCTCTCTTCAATCTCAGTATCACTAGTAAACAGATTTTTTTAAAAAAAATTCAGAAGTAGTTGACCTGTGCAAAATGCTCGTTTACAATTATCATCTAAAGCAGGGAAGGGCAAATCTAACCAGCATTAATTCTGATGACAAAATCTCAGAGTAGCAGTAACATTAAATTGTTTTCAGAATTCCACAGCCGTGATCTCAAGGACATAACCTCTGACAGTAGTACCCACGGTTTTACTGGGATGACTTTCCATGAAATTTGCCCTTTGTTTAGAATTCTTTTGTCAACATAATCTTGTTTTTAGAGCCTGTTATCTCTAGCACACACAACGGTGTGGTGTAGACTTTCCAATTTCCTGGGGGGGGCTGGGGCTGGGCCAGAGGCATTGCTTTGCTAGGAGCAAGGGAGGCTCCCAGGGGAGGCTGAGCACCTTCCTTCCTGAAAATTTCGGCGGGGGCTAACGCCCCGCCGCCCCCACAAAGATTACGCCTATGAGCACACACTGCCTGTAGCCTAGTTCCCTATCCCCAAGGCCTCTGAAACTCCAGCCAGTCTGGATAATTCCCGGTCATAGAAAGCAATGTAGATGTTGCCCTGGCTGTGAAGCCCTAGGCACTCTGGCACAGCAACTTCCTTGCAAGGTACAGCTCTGTGCCAACACAAACTCTGAAAGTTTGGTCCTGGCTCCACTGGTGGACCTCCTGATGGCCCCTGGTCTTTTTGCCCACTGTGAAATGGAGTGTTGGACTGGATGGGTCACTGGCCTGATCCAGCATTGGCTTCTCTTATGTTCTTATGTAAAGGCTTGCCAGTTAACATGCCTTTCTTCCAAGAAGCACAATTACTCACCTGTACCAACTGGGGCAGATAATCAAGTAGCTCAGCATCAGATATGGAATCGATCCATCGCACAGCTGTCCTCCTCACTTCCTGATCTGGGAACCTGCAGCCATATTACCACAACAGACTCTCACTAGAGGATAAACCCTACCTCCATATGGATGAGCTCTTTCAAGATCCCTGAAATCCTAGAGCAGAGAACTGTTAGCGTCACCAGACTTACAGTCTGATCCTAAGCATGTTCTACAAATTCCACAGAGTTCAGTGAATCTTACTGTTAGGAGTGTGGGCAGGACCGCAGCCTGAGGTTCTGGTGTGTGGAGATACTTTGATCCAGCTACTAACACAATGGTCCAGCCTGCAGATTCTAACAGGTCTAACGCAATATTAGAACAGGGCTTAGACATTCACAGTGCAGATCTAAACAGTTATATCCTTCTAAACCCATTAACTTTAATGAGCTTAGACGGGTGTAATCTGGGAATCCTACATGGGAGGCCAGTCCCACAAGGTGATGCTGAAGGATTCTTGCTCTGCCCCACGGCTGCTGGCCTTTGGGGTTCCACAGGGTTTGATCTTATGCCCCATGCTATTTAATATCTACATGAAGCCACTGGGAGTGGAGGTTTGCACTGCAGTGTCACCAGTATGCGGATGACATTTAGCTCTACCTTTCTTTTCTACCTAATTCTGAGGATGCTGTTAATGTTCTGAACCAGTCCTTGGAGTCCATAATGGACTGGATGGGGTTAACAAGTGGAAACTTAATCCTGACAAGATAGAGGTGCTCTGGGTTAGTAGAAAGGCAGACCAAGGACCTGTCTTGGATGGGGTTATGCTCCCCTTGAAAAGCCAGTTTCACAGCTGCTCAACACAGCAGTCACCTTAGAAAACCTGATGGCTCCTGTGATTCACAGTGGTTTTGCCCAGCTTCAGGTGGTGTGCCAGCTGAACCCATTCCAAGCTCAGTCTGATCTGGCCCAGTCACATCTAGATTGGGCAACTGCAGTGTGCTCCACTTGGGGCTACTTCATGAAGAAGAAGAAGAAGAGATTGGATTTATACCCCTCTCTTCACTACCCAAAGGTGTCTCAGAACGGCTTACAAACTCCTTCCCCTTCCCCTCCCCACAACAGACACCCTATGAGGTAGGTGGGGCTGAGACAGCTCTTGACAGAAACTGCTCTTTTTCAAGAACAGCTCTTATCAGAGCTACGGCTTGCCCAAGGTCATCCAGCCAGGTGCAAGTGGAGAAGTGGGGAATCAAGCCCGGTTCTCCCAGATTAGAGTCCGCACGCTTAACCACTACACCAAACTGGCTCAGTGTTCAGGGGCTGCAGTTACAGGGATCGCATGCCCACCCAAATCCTATAGCAATTACACTGGATTCAAGGTGTTTTTGACCTTTAAAGCCCTACATGGCTTGGATGTCTGAAGGACCTTCTCCCACACATTGCTGTTCAGGAATCAAGATCACAGGGAGAGGCCCTGTTGACTGTCCCATCCACCACAGAAGTTTGTCTGATGGGTGCATGACAGAGAGGGCCTTTTCACTGACAGCCCCACAGTTATGGAACAACCTCTCTAGGGAGGTGCCCCTGGCCCCCTCATTTTCAGTTTTTAGGAGGCAGCTGAAGACAGTTTTATTCATGACGACATTTGATTACTACTTCTGTCTGTGGGCAGTTTTAAATTATTTCTTTACATAGTGCTTTTATGAATTTTACATATTTTATTTTATTAATTTTACATATTTTATTGCATTTTATTATTATTTATAGTGTAAGTCACCTTGAGTTTCTATAAGGTAGAAACTTACGTCTCATATCCTGGACATATGAGATTAGTAATTGACTGAGCACCATTGTTTTAAGTGTTGGATGTTTTTATTATGTTTTATATGTTTTTAATTATGGCACGGCTAATTACCCTGCCCTTGTTAGCCGCCCTGAGCCCACTGGGGAGGGCAGGATATAAATGTGAAAAATAAATAAAAATATAAATATAAATAAGAGGTGGCTAATAATTGTTTAAAATAAATAATTGTGCTACAGATTGCACTGTTTGCCTACTAACCTTCCAGGGCCTCCCACACTGACAGCAAAAGCTTCAAGGGAAATTACTTACGCTGCATGTAAGAGTCCAAGGGCATCCTGATGGTTCATGTGCGTCCATTGCTTTAGCAGGGCATAGATGTCCGGCAAGCATGCCCACTCCCAACTCGGAGCACTAGCAAGCAGCAGAGGCAACGAGCCAGCTTCAGAATGGCAGTAATAACGCTTCTCCCACAGCCGCTTCCGGTCGGCATCTGTGAGCCTGAAGTGGGAGAAGGCAATAAGATTAGACCAGGGACCCAATGGCTATTAGCCCCCATCAGTGAACACAGCCTCCACATTCAAAGGTGGCACGCCTCCGGGACAAGCAACAAGGGAAGAGTGTTGCCTCCATTATTTTCTTGTAGAAGCATCTGACCACCCACTGTTGGAAACAGAATGCTGGTCAAGATGGACCCCTTTCAAGAGTGCTTTTAACCTTTTAAGAGAACTTTGTAGACATTCTATGAAAAACAGAGGCTCACAGTGAGAATGGAAAGGAAAAAATAATTTTTTGTGCAGTGTGGGGGTGTGAACAGGACAGTGTCCTATACAAATGGCCACTTTGTTGAAGTTTCTTTTTGGATATATATTTTTGCGGGTAATTCAGCTCACAGTTGTTTCCTGTTGTTCTTTGCCATTTCTTGCTGTGTGCTATACTGTTGGTTGTCGGCCACTATACAATACCATCTGATCATATGAACATAGTCTGAATATCATCAGAAAAAACGAGTGATATTTTATGTGGCCACCAGAGAGCAGCACAATCGCTGGAAAAACCTGCCCCTTCATCTCAGGCATACAGCACACAGCTGGGCGTTTAGATGTGCAAATGAGTCAATTCATTTCTCCCAGGGAGGGATCAGGTGGCTAATGAGGAAGCTTGAACCAATTCCACTCCAAGTATAATGGGATCAGCGACTCTCCTGCCCAAAGGGCAGCAGGAGGCAAGGAAGCTGTAGCCCATGATGAAGTGCAAGGGCACCAGGGAAGGGGCCGGTCCTCATTAGAAGTAGTGGAGCCACCCAGACATGCATCATATGGAGTTGGCCTTAGCTTACACTACAGTAAATCAGCTAGTCTTTAAAGATGTCCCAACACTCCTCTCATTTTTGCTGCAATAGGCTGACATGGCTTCCCTGCTGGAATCTGCTCTTGTTTTATGGCTCTCTCTGCACCAATAGTGATAAGTTAATCTGCATCTGAAGGGGAGAAGAAAGGTTAAACTTCCCAGTAACTTGATTCATAAGTTTAGTCCTTCCTTAAAACTTCTGGAATGAGAAGCAAAAGGCCTGGCAACAATCAAAGGAGAGAAGGAAATGAGCAGAGCTTGCTTAACTTTTAAAAAGTGAGGCAGCAGGGCTGAAGCCTGTCTTAGAGGCAAAACCCTCTGACTTGGAAGTTCTCCCCCCCATCCCAAATATGTCGCAACAAGCCCTAGTATTTCCAGAAGGGAGCTTTGACTCTCAGAAGCTTACACTCCATAATGCTCTGCACATTCTCAGAGACACAGATTTAACAGCAGGGATAAGCAACTATTCAGCACACGTGCTGAATAGCAGCATGCCAGACCATTTTCCAGAGTGTGCAGGGCTGGGTCTCCACCCAAGGGACCAAGGTGAAACTGCTAGCAGTACTTGGGATTCAGCTTCTTTCCTGTGTGTCTGGCCAAGCACAGTCCTGGCCTCTCCCTTCCCGCTTTGTATGCCAGCTCACCATCTACTTCACAGGCAGAGATGAGGGGCACTGCGGCTGTCTACACTTATTGTTCAGTTAAGCCCTACACTGAAAACAAGGCTGAGGGACTAACTCCAGGAAATGAGGTTTACCCCATATAGCTCAGGCCCCATGCCTCAGCTGGAAAAGTAGCTTGCTGTAATTTCATTTGGTCCCTTGAGAATCTTTTTAAAAATTGTTTTTACTGATCAATGCAGTTGACAGCTCAAAAGACAATACGATAAGATGACCTGAAAGGTCGACAGCGAGAGGTCTGAGGGAAGACAGAAACCGCAATGGAGAGTATCACAAGAGGACTGAGTGGGATTGGCAAAAGCAGCCTACATATGGTGTAGGTCTGCAACAGAAAAGAGCAGCTGGGAGGAGAGGAAGAAAGAAACCTGAGGAGGAGCTGGAGGTGCCCTGCACTCCAGCGGTACAGGGGAAAATGGTATTGTTGGCAGAATTATTATTTAGGGTTACCTTAGCTCCACTGTGCTAAAGTGACCGATTTCTGGAAACAAAGATGCAAGGGGCTGAGGTGCCTGGAAGCCACACCTTTAATCCCAGACATGTGGGACTGGGCCGTGGCTATTCAGGTCAGAAGGAAATTATTACCTGAAACATTCCGGCATCAAATCTTAGCACTTAAATGTTTCCAGGGTTGAGGTCTGACTCAAATCAAGTCCTTCTAGGCCACATTGGCAAGGCAATGTGAGAAAGACCACAGAAGAGATGTCTTGGAGGGAGACCAGGGCTGGTTACAAATGACTGAAGCTCGGGTCCAAGGCCACTGTAATCACCCCAGCAGCACTGTCACTGGGAAAGCAGGAGAGCTGGGCATGGGGGCATTTGCAAAGCTGGAGGGGAGGGAGGGTCACTCACATGCCATGGCTAGCTTTTCCCACAGGCTTCCTTTTGCCACCCCCAGGAAATCCATTCACTAAGATCCGGAACAAAGCTGAAGGAAAATGAAAGTGCTGCCCGCCTGTGGGAACTTCCCACCCTAGCAATGACCCATAGCAGGCAGGAAAGGCTGTGGCACTGCCTCCTGTACAATGCCAGGAAATGCCCACCCACCACTTTTCTTTCAGAAAGCCAGAGCTCCCAAAGATGAAGGGAAGGGGTGTGTGTGAGAGGGCAGCTGGACACCTGCTTTACATGCATCATGCACAACCCCAGGGTACAAACTGACCAGCACAGCCACTTTTTTTCCAAGCGCACAGGCAATCTGCAGTTGCAAATGTGGTGGGAATAATCAAATCAAGGTTCTCTTCTGTTATCTTGTGCTTGCAGAGACAGTAAAAATATTAACTGCATTAGAACATATCAATGCAGCCTTTAATGACAATTCTGGCATTAAACTGGAATTTTCAGCACTTCTGGCTTGATCTACCCATTGTTCGATGTTGTGCTGTGGTAATTTCAGGGCTATTTTTGGGCAGGAACGCAGAGGAATGGAGTTCCAGCTGGCTTCGGAGTTGGCCACGCCCACTACAGCCAAAACGTCTGTGTGCGTGGCTACAGAGGGAAGGCCTGGAGAGCGACCCCCACCATGGCAACTCCAAGGCAGGCAAGACAGGGGGGCCTCTGGAAGGATTGGGGAGGCATTTAAATGCCTCCCCGTCCCTTCCCCAGCCTGTCCAAGGGCTGGCTTCCCGGGGATTCCTGCAGCCGTGGGGCGCCGGGCAAGCCAAGGGAAGGCAGTTTAAATTTCCCTCGCCTCCAAGGGCCAGCTTGCCTGAGCTCCCCACAAGGGAAGGCATGGGTGTGTGGCCTAATATGCTAATAAGTTGTGCTATCAGGGGTGTGGCCTAATAGGCTAATGAGTTTCTACTGTTGGGTGTGGCCTATTATGCTAATGAGTTCCTGCTGGGCTTTTTCTACAAAAAAAAGCCCTGGGTAATTTTATGTATTTACTATATTTATATCCTGCCTTTCTCCTCCCAAGAGGGTCCCAAAGCAGCTTACATTGTTTTCCTCTCCTGTTTTATCCTCACAGCAGCCCTGTGAGGTAGGTTAGGCTGAGAGTGTGTGACTGTCCCTAGGTCACCCAGCAAGTTTCCGTGGTGCAGTGGGATTTGGGTCTCCCCGATCCTAGTTGGACACTTTAACTATTATGCCACATTGGCTCTCCAGCCACGCACCTCCTGAATTTTCCAACCAAAGATAGAGATCCTGCCTCTAAGGAACAACAGAAGACATGTAAGATTTCATCATAGGAATGCCAGCAATGAAGCCACACCCCTTGGCATTCATGAAGACTGGCCAATGGCAGCTTTCAATTTAAAACCAGCTGTATACAACTCTAGTCCTTGTGTCTCTGGAATTATATCCAGCTAAGCCCAGAAGGCTCTGCTACTATACAAGTAACAGAGCTCCCAACAGATTCTACATCCCAGGCACCACAAAGAAGCAGATAACCAACATTAATTCTTAAGGAAGTCAAGCAGTTTTACACACTCTTCACTATACTCTTCAGCCCTGGCAGCTCTTTTTGAATGAACACAACAAGCAACAGAAGGCTCAGGGCTGTATTAGGCAAAGGCTGATGATGTTATTACTGCCAATATTGTTGCACAGCGTGTATCATATACCAAGTCTGTAATCAGTCATCACTTTAATTTCCATTTAGCAGACAGGGCAGGAAACACAGACCGAGAGAACAGAGGCTTTTCCCCTGTGTCACCAACGGACTACTGAGCTCTTGGCTGGCACTCAGTCTGTACACAGCCTGTATCCTAGTCAGTCCCTGTTCCTGGAAGCACTGAGGAATGCTATCAGGATAGGCGAGACTCAGCTGCTTCAAGTTTCATGGGCTTTCTCTCTGCAACACTACAAACATCTGGGCTCAATCTTTGTCTCATCCCCAAACACATAATTAGAGACAGCCTCTCAATGGAGCCCCAGTTTCTCCCCTTCACCCACAGTCCTGGGAGGCCCCATTCACTGAAGGTGCTTTGGAACTCCAGGGGATCTGAGCATCTTATCCATAGACCCTGAGCCCCAGAGCCTCTTTTTATTATTTCACATAGACCCTGAGGTATGTGAAATAACAGTAAACCTCTCAGCATATGTAAATGCCCCTTTCCTCACACTCCAGCAGGGGTCATTTCCTGCAGGAGCACAGCTCTGGCAGTAAAGAGCCCAGGGGGCGGCCACATGCAACAAGCCCCGCCCCCTGCTCCCAGCAGCCCTCAGTCAGAGCAAGAAGCAGCCAGGTAAGCTGCAGAGCCCCCCCGGTCCAAAACAGCCCAGTGGCACCTTTAAGACCACGTTTTATTCAGGCACAAGCTCTCCCTCCTCTGCGAGGACAGATCTGCACGTTACCCTTGCCTTCTGACACACTTCCAATGATGTCAGGGGGTATGGTATATGCAAATAAGTTATGCTAATGAGCTCCTGCACCTCTTTTTCTACGAAATGACCCCTGCACTCCAGTAACCATGAACCCCTCCTCCACTTAGCCTTAAGCAGCAAGGTAACCAAAGCACATGCTGTAACAGCCAGGTATGAGCCCTGGCACCTCTCTTTCTGGAAGACAATACTCAACCAATATAATGTGTGGGGATGTGGGAATAAATTGGCCACACATATGTGAAGCCTTCCAGAGCAGTAAGTCAAGGGAGCAATAAGCTCCACCTGAAAAAGAAGAGAATACCAACCACTGCTGATAAAAAGGCAATTTGTAAGCATGTTTCTAGCTCTTATAGAAGAGATGCTATTATCCCAGTGAGCACTATATTTTTACTGTAGGAGGCATATGAACTCCTTGAACACAGTCACACAAGTGTTTATTATCATGAGGAAATTTTCTGAGGTGAGAAGCATAGTCCTGCTCTGTAATGCAAGATAGACTGCCCCAATTGGAAGATTAATTACTAGAGTCCCAAACATCCATCTGCAGAGACTATGTGAGACAGCAAGGAACTAAAATCTGCCCTAATCCATAGTAGTTCCTCAAATCATGTTTCTTTTCAACACTTTTATTAAGTTTGAGAAAAACAAGGTAAAAAAATTATCAGACCGGGAAATATTTGCCACTTATAGTTTTAAAATCCTCTCCATTCTTATTTGCCAATAGATCACAAGCAATCTAGGTTGGAAGCCCTTCTCAGTTGGTAGAAAACCATTTATGAAGGAAAGGGATCATAGAAACTGGTTGATACTGTGTCCAGAATAGCAGCCACTAACCAATAAGCATGTTGCCAACACAGAAATATATTTTGAACAAGAGGTCTGGATGAAAGTCTCATGCCTGGGAACGCTTTTAGAACAGCTGTAGCAAGAGTGCGCTTGGAGTTCTGATCTCAGAAAGTGAGGAAAGCCAGAGAGGCAAGGAAGGAGGTGAGATGTCTAGACGAGATGTTAGACATCCCACAGGAACAGGGAGGGAGTATAATGTGCCTAGCAAAAGTGCAATGGCATTTAAAGAATGGGCAAAGACAGATGGGCCGATGCTGGTAGGGATTCCTTTCACTGTAATACCTTTACCTCTCCTTCAGCCTTTAAACCAGGGTTGTCAAACATGCGGCCCGGGGGCCAAATCAGGCCCCCGGAGGGCTTCCATCAGGCCCGCAGTGGAACTGGCTCTCTCCTGCTTCCAGTTCTGCTGCTACTGCAGCATCATAGCTTGCTTCGCCAGACTCTCTTAATCACTCAGCCATTTCATGTTTTAACCTGGGTCCTAGACTCAGAACTCTCAGCATGAGATTACTGTGGTGAATGTCAATAAATTAAAAGTAGGTTTGCAGCTTATAGAGCTAATGTTTTAAGCATGTTTTTATTTTACATTTAAAAAACCCTTTGTGTTTGTGTCCTTTATAAAGTTTATATCTCCGCTACCTGGCACTACATTTTATGACACACATGGCCCGGCCCAACAAGGTCTCATTTATGTCAGATTCGGCCATCATAACAAATGAATTTGACACTCCTGCTTTAAACTGTACATTTCTCAGGGTAGGGCTGCTCCCTCTAAGCTATGGAGTCCTGTGAGCAAAAATTCTACTTTTCGAGCTACAGGCATTAAAATTGTAAGCGAGCGATTTGGCTACTGCATAAATTAGTTTGCTCTGGAGCCATCCTTCCCGAGCTAAGACAAAAAGATGTAACTATGAGCTAGCTCACACTAACTCAGCTTAGAGGAAACACTGCCAAGGATCCGCCCCTTATTTAGCTTATGTTTTGCTCTCATACACATTTTTATCTTGTCTTCCCCCCCCCCAGGAGCAACATGTGATTTAAATGGCTCTCTTCTCTGTTTTATCCTCACAATAATCCCATAAATGCAGTTTGGACTACAAGAGACTAACTGCCCCAAAGTCACCAAGTTGCACTTCATGGCCATGTGGTGATTTGAACCCAGGTCTCCCCACACTTAGTCCAACACTCTAAATACTATATCAGACTATTTCTGTAAAGCACCTCATGCAAGCAGAAAAGAAAGTGAAAGGGATATATGGAACAGAAGAGCTCCAGACGTCCTACCGAGGGCTATTCAGAAACTGGAGAGGTCAGCCTAGACCACTCCAATAGGAGCCATGCAACAAAAGAAATTTGCATAGCCTATCGAGCGAGCAGAGGCGTGACCTAACTAGTTGCTGGATGACTTCCCCCCACTGAAGGAGAACTGATGGAAAACCAGTAGTCCACATCTGTTAGCAAGAGAGTTCTGAATTCTTGGCTTTCAATTTAATGGATAATTCCTTTCCAAAATACAGTCTGGAGAAGAGCAAGACCATTCCCTCCCTCTTATATGCAACATGCTCTTGAGAGAGTTTGACAGCCATGTGTGTAACCATCAGGGCTGTTGTCAGTTATTACTGGAATGATGCCACAAGCTTTAGAAAGACTGGCCAGATGCTTTGAGTCTGAATAAAAGTATAGTAAGGATAGACTGAAGAAACAATACGTTATATAGTCACCTTTGTGGAAGGAGGTTTCTTCTCTGCTTAAAGCCATTTTTTGTCAAGGAACACAGTTGAAACATTCAGTTACACTCAAGGAAGGGGCCCATGAAAACTTAATTAATGCCCACTGAAAAGCCAACAATCTCCTGCAAGCTTCAGAGTACTTTTGTTATAGACGATGTGTTCCTCAGATAAGGATCAGACCCCAGGATTCTTCATCTCACCACACAAAAGCTGCCCTATACTTGCATACACTGCCAGTTCAGCATGATCTAGTCTGACTGACAGTGGATCTCCAGGATCTCAGGATGAGGAAGGTCTTTCACAGCATCTGCTACCTGAGATCCTTCTTTAACTGGCAGTGTAACAGACTGATCCCAAGACTTTCTGCATGCATATCTTATGCTCCACTATTGGCCTACAGCCCCTCAGGAAGTGAACATAATCTGAGCTGCTTTGCTTGGCCACTTTGAGGAAAAGTCATCTCAACAATAAGACACGTTGGCCTTTAGGAACAAACAAAATGAACTGAAGTCCAGTGCCAGAGACTTCTTTGGGTCAACTCAAAAGTTCTCAAAAAAAGTTTAAATCATCCTAAAATTTTGTGTGAAACCAGCTAATCACTCCTCTGATGTCTGTTTCAGTGAATAAACAAAACAGCAACTTGTTTAGAATGACATCATGGAAAAATGACCAGGTTACAGGACACAATTTACCTATGAAGGGATGTATGTGGATTTATGGCCCCATTGGCTGAAGCTTTCCAAAGTCTCATGGTGTTTTGTGCCTTTGCCATTACTGCCAGCTAAGGGTGTAATGGGGACTGAACTTCAGCTCTCAGCTTTGCATGATATGAGGTCACTAATCTATGGATAGGCTGCCAATTGACCAGGAAAACACACCTAGTTTTTAAAAAATCTGTTCAGTTGCTGGAAAAGCAAGGGACAAAGCAAGGCCTTCTTTTCCTCTTCAGCCTTTGGGGGGAGGGGGTTGTTTTTAAGTTGTACATTTTAGGAGAACAAACAGATTTTGAATGGGGCTTTGGCCACAATCTACTGGACTCCAAACTACTGGACTCCAAAACTCATGTCTTTGTGTCAAACTTGGTCTGGGGTCTGTTCCCACCCTGGTGCCACAGTCCTTGGAAGAGGTAGCAATCCTAGTTACAGGCTCTCCTCTAAATACGCACAAAATGGGTATGGCACACAGTAGTGCTGAAGGAGGAGATCCAGGAATCATGAAGGAAGAAAGACTGGTTCCTTACATTGCAGTACACGAAGGTTACCAGAAGGAATGACATATGACATGGTCTTATACTGAATCAGACTATTGGTCCATCAAGGTCAGTATTGTCTACTCAGACTGGCAGCAGCTCTCCAGGTTCTCGGGCAGAGGTGTTTCACATCACCTACTACCTGGTCCTTGCAACTGGAGATACTGGGAGGGGGGACCTGGAACCTTCTACATGCCAAGCAGATGCTCTACCATTGAGTCACAGCCCCCTCCCCGAGCTCTTTTTCCCCTCCCCTTGTGATGCTACATCCAGTACCATCCAAAGGTGTCTCAAGGGCCAGAAGCCTCCTCCCCTCAGTGCCTGTGCACACCCCAGCCTCTTACCAATACAGCGATTCCTTCTGCATCACCTCCTTCAGCTTCCGCTGGTCTTCCTCAAGGAGGCTGTGGAAGTTGTACTTTGGACTGAAGTCTGCTGCAGGTGGACTAGTAAACTTGACTTCAAATGCTGAGCTGGGAAAATCAATCTGTAAGAAAAAAGCAAAGAGTGATTGTTACACACACACATACACACACATACACATACAGAGTCTTAAAGGCATCTGAAAGGGCAGATGAATACTGAGAGGACCTTCTCTCACATCCTTTTAAGGAACTAGCCTGAAAGAGGGTCTTGCTCTCTCCCACTTGTATTTGGATGTCCTGTTATTCATGTGACTGTCGGCCAATTCAGACATCAAAGAAGCAGATGCCTATTTATTTCATTTGAAATAATCATGAACCGCTTTTCTGACAAACCTTCACAGTGGTTTCCAGGTAAAACCATAGATTCAAACAATCTCACAGTTCTATTTTCCAAATCATTGGATTTTCACGACTATTTCCCAAATCATTTGGATTTTCAACACACACATTCCCACCCCACCCACCCCAAGTTTCTTCTGTGCCAGGCTCACCAGGTTTTCAGAGTGCTAATGATGCAGTTTCAGGGAGGAAGATACATCATTGTTTGTGGAAAATGAGAAGAGAGTTACAAAATCAAGTTAACTCCCATTCTCTGACTAGAAAGGCCACAGAGAGATCAGCAAGACAAAAGGCTAACAAAAATGACCAAAGGGTTTTACGGCCAAGTCACATCCCCAGTGAGCCTAGTCACAGGGCTTGTGCGAAAACTGCTGTCAGTCTATTTCAACATTTCATTTGCTTAGACTGTGGCTGCGGTCAAACACACTAAGGCTGCGGTTCCATGGCATGGCAATTGTGCTTTGTTCCCGATGTAATTAAAACTGGAATATTTTTTTCTGAGTTGGGATGTTCACACATCCCTCCCTGAACCACAAGCTCGCCTTCCCCACCTGCCCACCTCCCCCCACCCAGCAACTTTCCAGCCACCGGCCCGATGAAAAGAAAAGAAAAAGGCACCTTTGAAAGAGTTCTCCTTTCCACCCGATGCTGCTGGCTAGCTGGGTGTGCTCCCTGGCGCCGGGGGCTCCCTCCCTCCTAACGCCGCAGCTTCGGGGACTCCCTGGGTGGATGCCAAAGCCTGCTCGCCTGCCCCCCCCCGCTTCCTCCCCCAGAAACTGTCAATGCCGCCTCCATGCCGGGGGATGGCGGGCAGGACTTTTCTCCAAGCAGGATGAGCGCTTGTTTACTCAAGCGCTCAAAGCCGGAAGGTTTTTTTAAAAAAAAAATCGCACAGAGCGGTCAGACGGCCCTAATCGCAATCATTGTGAAAGCTGACTGTCCAGATGGGCGAAATCACGCATTCAAAGCGCAAGTGCCAGGAAAATACTTGATTCTCCCGGGGGCACGAAAACCCGGGAGCATTGCGGGAGTGAGCCCGCTTTGGCGTGGGAGGTGGATTTGCCTGTCTGATCAGCAAACTTAAATGCGGGAGGGAACAGCAGCGAAACCTGATCAAAAAGACCGTGTGATCTCAGCCTAAATAATCCACTTTCAGTGCACTTTCCAACTGGATTTGTACTGTGTAAACTGGCAAAATCCAATTCAAAAGTGCACTGAAAGTGGACTGAAAGTGAATTCTTTAGTTTGTGTGACCACAGCAGGAGACTCGCTGCACCAACACAAAACTTCCAAAAGAGGGCTGAGTGTTATGCCAAGCCACAATCTAGACCAGGAGGGGAACAAGCCAATTACCCTTCTGACTGCTGATTCAGCACTCATTCTCATTTGCCCCATAAACCTACATCATGACAGCCTCAAGAGGAATGTGTGAATCAGCCCTCAATCAGGGACACAGTTTCTCCGAACTAGCTGCCAAACTTCTCCATGCAACATTCCCTTGGGAGCAGGCCACAAATACACAACTGACCCTGTTGCCCCACCTCCAAGCATGTTTCAAATGCGTTGAGACACTTGGGATAACTAAACATGCCCCAGGGGTGGAGGTGAGGGAGAATCCATATATATTTATCTCTGCTCTCATTCAATCACATGTGAAGTAGGGGAAGGTTGGGTCTGGTTTTGGAGCATGTGCAAAGTCTCCTTTCCCACTCCTCACAGGGAAGGGCTGTGGCTCAGTGGTAGAGCATCTGCTCAGCATGCAGAGTGCCTCAGGTTCTATCCTCTGCATCTCCAGTTTTAAAGGAATCAAGTAATATGAAGGAATATGAAGTAATATGACCTTCATATGAAGGTCCTATGAAGGAACTCAGGTCCTGGAGAGTTGCTGAGCTGAGTATGCAATTCTGACCATGATGGACTGATGGTCCAATTCAATATAAGGCAGCTTCATGCTTTAGTGTAACTGCAACCCCTTCTATCATGCACTAGGCAGAGATCCTCCAGAGCTTCAGGGTCACTGCATATAAGCTGCTATCCTACAGCAGTGACAGACAGTGCCACATCCCCTTAGATGCTCCCTTTAGGCCATCCCCACCTTGAGCATTGCACCTGAACAGTAGGATATGTGAATACATACATGTGGATCTCCCTATCACATCTAGTTTGGCCTCAACAGCTTCCAAGGACATAGACAGTCCCCAAGCAACATAGTTACATAGATAAATAGTTTAGGCATTAGATTCACTACTGGATACACAATACATTTGTATGGATGTATTCACACCAGTGAAAACAAAGGCCTGTAAAGCTAAGCTGATATCTGTATGGGAGAACAGGAATGACCTGCACATTACAGCATTCAAGAGCATGCAGAGATATCAGTCAGTGCTGTAGGTCAGCGGCTATCTACAGTGACCTCAAGATTCAAGAGAATCTGTGCTTAGTGCATACTGCATAAGGGACGGCAATTGCAAGTGGATTACAAGGACATTTCCTTTGAATCTTCCAAGAGGAAAAGATGGGGGGAAATAAGGTCAAACGTCCTGAGCTTTAGAAAGCCACAACCACACCCCATCTTTGAAAAGGAAAAAATCCCAAGGTAGGATGGGATGCAAAAGTTCATTAGCAGCAGACCTCATTCATACAAATGCAGCTCACTGCAACAGCAGAGCTTAAGGAATTACCAGCCATAGCTTTAAAAAAAATAAATTAAAAGCTTGATGAATTTGTAAGTGGCTTTGGAAGAAAACTCAATCACTTGGTTGCATGCCAAAGAAATCAGTACTCTGTAAGCAGGTCAGAGAACTGCAGCAGAATTAGGAAAGAATGACAGGAGCTAATTGCAGTTCAGGCAGGGCTGGGTTGGTCTCTTAGAAATAATTCTCCTCCCTGCTCCGTGTCAGCAGACATCGGTGAACATGATAGGACCCGGGGGAAAGGTTCCCAAATCCAGCCCAGCTGTATTACTCGCTCTTCCTCACAAAGCATCCACTTAAGCAGCATCAGCTTCTCCTGCCCTTCCTCCTGTCCACACCCTGTACAGCAGGCTCCTAGTTCTGTAGCCAAAACATGACTGGTGTGTAGCAGAAGGGAGGTAGAAAGAGAGAAAGAACAACTGGCATTATTAATATATTTATTTATCTATCAGTTTTATACCCCGCCCTCCCAGCCAGGGAACAATGTAATATTGGAAATCTCAATATCTATATATCTAATAGCCAAGTTACCCCCTCCGTGTGGATATCTAAATCCACAAATCGGGGGCACTTGGGGGGCAGGGAGATTTTCCTGCACACTTGGGGCTGTCCCTTGGTATGCTGAAAAATCTAAAAAGTTTTTAAAACTGTACAGGGGATATTTAAAACCCAAATAAAGTAAGAGCGTTCCCTGCGCATACACAGAGAATGCTCTGGGAACTCTGCGGTGGGCCGGTGGCTGGGAGGCGCTCAGGCCTCACCGCGGGTGCCGGGGGGGGATCAGCGAGGGGGGGATCGGCGGGCCCGGCAGCTGGGAGGCAGATTAGGGGCCTTTAGGAATACCCCCCCCCCCCCGTGAGTATCACGGGTCCCACTTCTTGTAAACTACTAATTTAGAATTCTGACAAAATCTCTTCCTAGCCAAGCATTCAACAGATTAGTTCCATCTACTTTTTAACATGCTCTGACCTGGATAGCCCAAGTTAAAGATCCCTTTGTCAGATACTTTAAGTCTCAAAAACGTATACCCTGAAAATCGTGTTGGTCTCTAAGGCACTACTGAACACTAAAAAGTGAGCGTGTGATCCCTCTTAGTACTGCCGGTATGCAAAGGCACTCTTCCACTGTTCAGACCATTATGTGTAGATACTATTGTTTGTGCCAATCTTTTTATGATGGCTGGAAGGAATCCTAATCAAGATGGCCCTGACCACACCCAGTGCATATAAAAACTGGAGTTTTCATAGACCAGTGCCATAGCCCCAGTTTCCAGGGACAAACAAACAATAGCCCAAATGTGGTTAGGATAGTTAGTGAGTGGCTATTTATATGCATGTCAACTAACAATTTCAGTGTGCTTTCGTGCTTTCTGCAGGTTCACAGGGAATGGAACCCAAACGATGAACTCACCTGCAGAATAACACTGTCAGGTTGGTTGAAGTTGGGAGCACTCGATCTGGCACTGGAGGGGTCTTGAGTTGCTGGCCACAAGCCCAGGAGTTTTCGCCCACAGGTCAGAACCCTATACATAAAAAAAAGTGGAATGAGACATTGAGGCTGATACAGGGTCCCGTAGCTAACTAGGAATAATATCCAGTGACGTAAAAGCAGTAGCTTACAGAACCCTCAGCCATCAGCAAAAAATACTGGGATTCTTTTCTGTTATCACACTGAGCTCCTCTGCAACAAAGCCACAGTTTGGAAGGACTAACCTTTTAATATTTTATTTCTTTATTTAAAATGTTTTTATGATGCCTTTCTACCTGATCAGGGTCCCCAAATTGGCACACATAAAAACATTAAAACATCTGACCCAGTAAAAACATTTGAAATTATTAAATGTTCAATAGAAATACATAATACCAGAACCAGGGAGAAGGGCCAACAACTGTTGCTGGGGTATGCCAAACAAAACAGTTCAAAAACAAAGATCATAAGGTCTTAGCCATCACTAATCTAGGGGTAATACAGAATTGCCAGTCAAAGCTATAGAAGCTTAACTGTTAATTTATAAAACCAAGCATACAGCAAAATTCAGAATCACTGCATTACATTAATCCTACAAGGCTCTCATTCTACAAACTGGAGATGTTCAAGTCTTGCTTTTATGCCACTCACATGGCCACTCAGAGCCTATCCCAGATCACTTTTCTGAAAGGGACCATAGATTCAGGCTTGTTCCACAACAGGATACTTCTGTGCTGCTCAGTCATGCCTTTTTCATCATCAAATCAGCTGTGTTGAATCTGAAACAGGAGTTCTATACAGCACTGAATCAGGGGTCCCCCCCATATGGTGCCTATGGGTGTCACGGCACCTACTGACACCTTGGGGTGGGGCCAGGTAGGACTTTTGCCCAGCATGGTTTCTGATTGACTATTGGGAGATTTGATCGGCTGTGCAGATTTTTTTTTTTAATATAATGGCAATGTCTTCGCCATTAAAACTAACCAGCACATCATAGAAATTCCAGACTAAGAGTAGTGTGGAAGCAATCCAGCACAATGCCCTAGGTGTTAAGCAAGTAATAGCCAACAACTCAGCACAGTTGTCCAAGTTACTGATCCCATACAGACATCCTGGATAGGTACCTTGTTTATTCTCTGTGGCGCTCCCTATATTCCCTCAAAGAAGCCACAAAAGCAAGTATACATACTGCCTAAAGTTGAAAAGGGGGGTGGTAACCCAGCCCAAGGCCTCTGGATTCCGGCGCTGCTTATTTGTCTCTGAAGAGCTCCCAGGAGGTGGGATCGGAACGGCATAGAGAGTGGCTGTCAAAAGAGACTCCCGTGGCAGACGGTTCACTTGAATTGGAAAGCAGATCCTGAAAGAAGTTACAGTGAATTAGTTAGGACATTGATTTCAAGCTATTTCCCTCTCCAAGGCAAAGCCTTCTTACAGCAATTATCCCAGTCACCATTTATAACAACCCAGTGAGGCTATGATTTTCATTTTCTTGTGGTTGGAAGACCATACCTAAAGTCAGGTCTTCCAGGTTTAAATGCAACACTTTATATGATGAACCACTTTGGTCCTTGATTCCCTTTAGGAATCACATGAACACATGAAGCTGCTTTATCACAGTTAGTCTTATCTACTCACACTGCCAGTGGCTCTCTAGGGTCTCAGGCAGGGCTCTCTATGGGCAGAGGTGTCACTCATTTGTTATGAGGGCCAGATCTCATATAAATGTCACTTCGTTGGGTTGGGCCATGTGTGCCATAAAATGTAATGCCAGGTACTGGAGATATTTCACCACTGACTGTGTCCCACACCACTCCTCAGCACCTAACTAACCACCCTTTGCTCAATATGCAGAAGAATTTTTGTGTACCACAGTGAACCACTGCCTGACAATCAAGGTCCAAAAACCAGAAACACTTGTGGCTCTTCAAAGACTAACACATTTCAGAAGCTTTTGATGAGCTGCAGCATGAAGTGCTGCATTCCATTGTGCAAGTACAGCAAAGACAAGTGGCCAAGTGGTATCAACCAGGGGAACCCAATAAGCCCTGCCTTAATGAAACTGCTACGGTCAACAGGCTTGGGAGGGGGGTGAGGCAGCCCCACAATCCCACACCTCCCTCTTTCAAAGTCCCACATTCATCAACAAGTTTGAACCACAAGGGGAACTGTGATGCTCCTCAGCACCACAAGCAACCTTCAAGTGCTGCCATTCTCCAAAGATGCCAGCTCCACTTTAATTGCCTTTTGCAGACTTTTATTTCCTACCAGCTCCATGGCATTATCCAACCACACAAAATATTACACCCCATGTGCAAACACACAGACACACATCCAGTGCCTGCCTCTGCAGTGTGCAAACCCAGCACACTTTTCTGAATGCCTGCTCCCATCCCTGATCTTCACCTAACACACACCCCATCCTCCACTTCCATTCAGACTGTTACATAAGACATAAGGAAGGCAGGAGAGGAGCCACGTACATTGGGGTCAGCAGGCTCTGGCTCACCTGACTCAGCAGCTCTCCTCTGCCCCTGACCCTTGGCATTTTGCACACGTTGCACCCCTTACATAAGTCCAGGCTGCTGTGCCAGGTCCCCTCACCGTCACGGTGGGGGGATTTGGGGGGCGTTCCAGGGGTGGGCAGGACATTATGTATGATGTCATCATGTCAGTGACTGGTTTTTGGGCTCTGGTTTTTGGCAAAACTCTATGTTTTTTTGCATTCAAAACCACAGAGTTTGCCCAAAAACCAGAGTGTCACCACATGATGTCCCTGGCGCAGTGATGACTTCTGGAAGTCACATCATCATGTTGGGGATGTCACGTGACAACGTCTCTGTTTGGGGGTGGGGTTTCCCCCTGTAATGTATTCCTCTCCGACCATGTGCGAGGCTAGTCGCCACACGGTCATGCGAAGCTTCCGAGCTTCGCTCCCAGGGACAATGGCCCTTGCGGATCCTAGCCCGCGCCAATCAGTGGGCTAGGCTCCCGGCCGAGAGCCCATGGAACTCTCGGCCACTGTAAATAGCCTATCACTGGTGTCGGTGTGTGTGTGTTTGGGTGTGGGGATTGTTGCACATATAAGCCGGCCTGCGAGCTGGGAAACTTGTCTTGTTCTTTCCTGAAATAAAGGTATGAGAGCTGAAATCACTAGTAAGTCTCAGTACTTTTCACCCCCACTGGCCAACTGGCCGGCAGTGGATCGAAGCCTACAAAAGTGGGGGAACCCCTGCTGGGACCTGGGGGCTGGCAACCCTACCAGCCAGCCATCTTTCCAGGAGCCCAGGCAGCAGAGGAAGGAGCCCGATGTGCTCTGGCCGGAGGAGGTGGCAGCAGCAGGCAGCACAGCTCCGTCCAGCGCCTCAGCCAAGGAAAGCAGATAGGCCTCAAAGGGCCTGGCTGTGCAGAGCTTGTGGCCAATTAAACTTATTCATCGCCCAATACCTGCTACTGCAGGGCTCTGGGTGATATACAAAAACATTAAAACCGTAACATAGATACATAAATAATACTGATACAGCGATCTAAAAAGATCAAGTGGCGAGAACTGCAATGGTTGAGCAATCCCTGGAGATCTGGAGGAAGACCCTGGGGAAGGCCCATGTTTGGGGAAGGGAGGGACCTCAGCAGGGGGCATATTACCCTAATATAGGCCCTTCCAGTCCACATTCAGACTGTTTCCCCCCAGTTGCTTGTGGGCCACATAAAAGCCCTGGATGGGAAGGTTCCAGCCCCTGGGCCTTATGTTTGACATGTCTGCTCTATGGTCTTAGGCAGAGGTCTTGCACATCACCTACTCCAAGATCCTTTACCTGGAGATGCGAGGGATTGAATTTAGGACCTTCTGCATGCCAAACAGATGTTCTACCACTGGGCCACAGTCCCTTTCAATGTAGACAATACGTTTCTGCTAACTCTGAGTTCCTCCCCTACCCCAGGTTTCCTCATGGTGTTCCTGCTCTTGTAGCTCTCAAAAACCTTTGAGGCCCAATAAGAATGAGTGCAAAAAAATATGACTGTAATACAGAAATAAGTGGAGATTGATAGTAATGTTGTCTGGATTCCCCACTGTAATTGTGTGTACAGTTAGATAGTTAACCTGTCTTAGGAGAAATTCGATCAGAGATCCTTAGCTCTCTCTCTCTCCCTCTCTCTCATAGAACAGTTCTCAGTTTCCTGGAGGAAGAGAATGGCTGTTATCAGTCTGCAGCATAGACTTAGGCTTGCGGCAGAACATTCTCCCTGCCTTCCATTCCAGCGCAGTCCTCCTCAGCCATGGTTCTCCTTAAGTCTATATTGTACATTTATGAGTTTAATTCCTGTCATTACAAAAGAGCGGGGGGGGGGACTTCCCCCCCCCCCCCATCATAATGTTCTTCTACAAGACACACTATAGTTAAAGCAAATTGATTTCTGGAAAGAAGTTCAGAAAGTAGCAACAGCCAAAGGAGAAATTGGTCATGCTGAAAGACTATCACTGCTCTGCCTTTCAGCATCTCATTTGAACTCCTGCTGCGTGGCAATGGAAGGAGGGGGCAGAAATCGCATTGCAGTGACACACAAGTATTTGGTTCAAATCCTTCTTGGCAGGGAAAAGAAGTGGGCTTGTCCTCCACATGCGGGGGCGGGGGGACCACAGGAGCCTAGGAGGACTTCCCTTCTTCAGGCTCCAAGATACAGAACAGAAAAATTACTCAGAAGGAAGCAATCGAGAGTGTAAAAGCACTGGTACCAGCCTGTAGAAATGAAGCTAGCAACCACATTTTACAGAACTACAGACTATGTTATGGTACGGTACATACTCCTCTCCCTACACATTTTGCAATTACTATGTGTCCACAGAGTTCCTAATTAGGACACTGCCTGTAAGGAAGCACAACACATGCCAAATAAAACACCTGAGCAGCTGCTTCATTATGCAGTCTCTGAAATAAAATGCTACTGTCTTCCTTTACTGAAAGATGCTGACTTGGTCAAGACCATTCTGTTCACTCCATGGCAGAAGAGAGGACTAAAGCTAGATGGATCCCAGTTCAAAATCTGTCTACTAAAATTCACTGACTTTAAAGCTGTAAAATGAGACACATCCAAACTGTTTTAGAAGTCACACTCACCCACACACAAACACACCAGAAACCTTTCCTCAAATACCTAACAGAGTAACTCAGTAGTGAGCATAGTTACTCAGTGGCAAGGAAAGTGATGTTCCTCACATACTCAGAGCAAAACTTCACATGCTCCAGTTTATTTATTTATACTTATGATTTAAATTTATAGACCACCCTTCCCTAAATACACAGGGCTCAGGGCGGTGAACAACAGTAAAAACATGAATAAATTAATAGAACAATTCCAACAGTTTAAATAAAATATGACTAAAACATTCTCAGGTGGCACTAAAACATCAGAGTTTCAAATTGTATCACTGAACTGTAGTGTCAACCCCAGGCTTTGAGAGTTCTCCTGAAATTTCACCTTATTTCTCGACTACAGAAATCAGTTCCCCTGGAGAAAAATGGAACTTCAGAAGGCGGACTCTGTGGTATACCATTCTGTCTATGAGAAACTGAAGCCCTAGAGTGACATCGAATATCCACCGAGTTTCCTCTTTTCCCCAAACACAATCTTTCTGCAGGACCACCCCAAACCTTCCCAAACCAGAGTTGGCAACCGTTGGCTTTGAGTTAAATCTCATTGAGTCCAAATTCAAACAAGACCCAGCCATTAAGACTCCAGTTGCAAAACTGCCCCATTTCCAAAGTTTCCATCCAGAGTGTTCCTATCTGGATGGGAGGGAGGGAGGCAGAAGAACACTAACCTTGAACATGGGGCTGTCCCTTAAACCTCCTTAACAGGAAGTGCCACCAGCTGGCCCCTCTGCCGATCCTGTAGCAGTAACAGAACTGAAGAGTGTGCCAGATTAAGGCAGTCTCATACACACAGAGAGATTGCCCACAGTTCGTTTTCAAATCGCTCATGGCTGAATGCCCTTTTTTGCAGATAAGCAAAGGGCCTGTGGAAGCAGCGACATGGTGGACGCATTCAGGCTGTCCCACTCTGGAGTCCAGTCCATCTTGATTTGCAGAATAAAAAACACTCACACCAAAAGGAGTTTAGGCCACAATCTCCATGTTGCTTTGCTGTGTCTCTCTTGATGTCCTCCTGTAGCAACTTCTAAAATTATCCCTTTCCTATCCCTCTTTCTGTTGGCCTAGTAAAAATGCCAAGTGCCACTGAAGCTCAAGAGAGGGCAGCAGGGCTATTTGTGGATCAGGTTCCCTTCCCCCTCTCTTCAGCCAGCTACGCAGAACATATCAGCAAGCACAGGGCTAGGCGGGGACCCTCCCCCAGGCTTTG